CAGTAAATACCGCAGAGGCAAATATTTGTTTGATAATTTTCCTATCCAGAATGTTATAAACAAGGAGATGCTTTATCGCCACTGCTTTTAAACTTTCATTACAATATGCCATTAGGAAAGTGCAGGAAAACCAAGCGTGACTGATATTAAATGGGACACATGCGTTACTGGTCTATGCTGATAATGTGAATCTACTGGGTGATTGTAGATACCTTGAAGAAAAACACACAGACTCTAATTGACTCTAGTAAGGAGGTTGGTCTAGAAGTAAACACGGGGACAACTAAGTATATGTTGCTGTCTCGTCACCAGAATGCAGGGCAAAATCATGACATTAAGATAGGAAACAGATGTTTTGAAAATGTGGCACAATTCAGATATTTGGAAACGACAGTAACAAATCAAAACCTGATTCATGAGGAAATTAAGAGGAGACTGAACTTCGGTAATGCTTGTTACTTTTCAGTTCAGAACATTTTGCCTCCTCATCTGTTGTCTTTATACGCAAAAATTAAAATATACAAAATTATAATTTTGCTTGTCGTTCTGTAAGAGTGTGAAATTTTATCTCTGATATTAAGGGAGGAAGATAGACTGAGGGTGTTTGAGAACAGGGTGCTGATGAGAATATTTGAGTCTTAGAAAAATCAAGTAAGAGGAGATTGGAGAAAACTGCAAAATGATGAGTTTCATAACTTGTACTCTTCGCCAAGTATAATTAGAATGATCACGTGAAGGACGATGAGGTGGGCAGGGCATGTAGCCTGAATGAGGACGAAGAGGAATGCATATACGATATTGGTGGGAAAGCCAGAAGAAAAGAGACCACTAGGTAGGTCAAGAAGTAGGTAGGTGGATAATATTAAAATGGATCTTAGGGAAAGAGGTTGAGGTGCTGTGGATTGGATCGATCTTGCTCAGGATACGGACCGGTGGAGGGTCTTGTGAATACGGCAATGAACTTTTGGGTAATAAAATTTTGATAAGTTCTTGAGTAGCTGCATAATTGGCGACTTCTCAAGAGGGTTTCAGCTCATGAAGCTAGTTAGTTAGTTAGTTAGTTTGTGTTTCTTCCGTTTTTCTTTTTATATTTATTTACTTTAGCTTTCCTATTTACTTTTACCCCCTGTATATTTCTTGGTTTATTTGTTTTTTCTTAAATTTTTATACCTGTTGCTTATGTATCTATTTCTTTATATTCATTTTATTTCTCCTTTCTTTCATGTTATGCTTTTCGTTGTTTCTTTTATCTTTCTTATTTATTTTCTTTCTCTCATTTTTTTTTTTTTACTTTTTAATTTCTTTCGTTCCTTTATTGTTTTTTTTCATTTCGAAATTTGTTGCCTTTTACCTCTTTATTTTTCTTCCTTAATCCATTTTTCAGTCTTTATTTATATTTTCATATTCAATTTCTTCAATTCTGTATCTCTTTCTTTCGTCTTGTCCCACTTCTCTCATTTCCTGTTTCATTTGTTTTCTTTCTGTTTCGCACTTTCGGTGTCATTGATATATGGAGTGCCACAGAGAGAGCATTTGAGGAAGGTATGTAGGCTACCCCCTACACAGGTACATTGATGTACCAGTGTTTTCGTAGACAAAGGCTGTCACACGAGAACATTGAATTAACTTTTTCATCCCAAAGTAAACAAAGTAATATAAATATTCTGCAACATTACATTCCTGCTGCTGAAAGAATTAAGCACAGAAATACGTCATTAAGAGAAAGTGGTCTTAAGTGGTTAATTGCCAAGTACAAACCTACACCGCAAGATGTCACTACTGCAGAGGCAAGTGACATCAATTATGTCAATAATCAATGCTTAAAGATGAATAAATCATTCCCTGTCTGTTCTAATATGCCAACAATCGAATCGTTGGCTCATATAAAAATTACGATTTTTTTTATTCTGTGTGGGAAGGTGTTAAGTGACAGTTTCAGAGCATTAGAACAGGAACAGAATTCCGGTTCCTACCCACGACTAAGGTGATTCGCCCCTCCAAAGTAATTAATTCCACTGTTAGCTGACTGTTGTTAAGTGTCACGAACGTACAGCGAGAGGGGCGCCTTAAATCAACGAGTCCCAAGTGCGACCACCAGTTGATTTGCCTCAATAATATAAGACAATTGTAAGTAATTTAGCTAGATTAAAGTGTTACATATTTCTTTCAAAATCTGGGTTATATATTTTTTTTTCTAAAAAGCAAAACACCTTATTTCATTTCCGCGCGAGCGCGTGCGCGTAGGAGAGAGCGGTAGAGGCGTAGGTGGGAAAGTGTTAAAATGAATCATAAAGATACAGATTATAAGAAAGTAACATACAATTACTCATTCTAGATGGCGGATCATTCCGCTTGTAATGTTGGCTGTTCCGCCTCCGTAAAACGTGGAGAATTTGTTGACTGGTTCAAAAACTAGGGGCTCGCTGCACCATCAAGGAAGTTATGAACAGAACCATATATATATATATATATATATAAGGCGGGACAGCGCATCGGTATAGCGACTGGCTACTGGCTGGACGACCGAGTTTTCTGAGTTTGAGTCCCGGTAGGGTCAAGAAGTTTCTCTTCTCCACGTCGTCCGGACCGGCTCTGGGGCCCACCCAACCTCCTATCAAATGGATACCAGGGGTAAAGCGACGGGGGCGTAAAGCTGATCACTCACCTAGAACTAGTGCCGAGGTCAAGAAAATGTGAATTTATACATACACTCCCCCATAGGTGTTCATGTTGTAGCCCTTAATTAGTTAAGCACAGAGACAACGTTCTTTTATATAGATATATGCCTGCACATAACTTACTTAAATAAATACGAATTTATTTTTAATGTTGTGGTACATCGGTAAGTATTTAAATGAAAAATATTACCCTTCGTTCTCGGTGAATCCGTGCGCAATCTTTCCGAGAAAAAAGCAACCTAACCATTTGCACGGAACAAATTAGTTCTTGAGAAGACAAAATCTCTCAACTAGCAGAGAAATTTTGAGCTTTTAATGGAAGCAGAATGTTAATTACCATGTTAACAATAGGACGCCTATTATCCATATTCTGAGAAATATAACGGAACGTTATTTAAAATAAGAAAACTATCCCATGATTGGAGTATATTCTGCCTCGAGAGCAGAGAGAGAAAATAATAAACAAATAAAGTGTTTCAAATATTCCTCTGAACATGAACTAAGCATCGTTAAAACAACCGATCAGTCTTAACAAATTTTTTAAAGTATGGAATAGCGTACTGTAGAATGGACCAAAAATACTTTGCAGATTTCTTCTTTCCTTTGGCGCTTCAGCCCCAATTTAGGCCTTGGCCTACCTCCATGAAACTCCTCGTTTCACGTCGGTTTACTGGATCTTAGACATTCGGTAGAACTCCTTGGTCGGGTGATCAGCTTGTTGCAAGACCTCTATCTGTACACAAACACAGAAAAACGCACGCACCAAACGCCTATGCAGTGGGTGGGATTCGAACCCACGGTCCCGGCTTCCGAACTAGAGAAGACAGTGCATGCCTTAGACCGCTCGGCTACCGTGGCCTGCGCTTTGAAGATTAGGTCTCGGCAAATACTGCATAATAACTGAGTTAGTCTTTAGAGATAATGCATAAGAATGGAGTGGAACTCTCTAAAAATTATGTAAGTTTTGAGGTTTTCACGGCGGTGACTGTGAAGAATTCCGTATTCTGGGATGTGGCGTCGTGTAGATCTTGTGTGACAGACGGCTTAGGGAGGAAGATGAAGGCGATACGTTCCTCCGAAACGTCGGTTCACACAAGATCCACAGGGCGCCACATCCCAGAAGAAGGCATTCTTCCTATAAAAATTTATTGAAAATACTTTGCACAGTAAGTATCGACAAATGATATTAAGGATTTCAGTGGTGTACTGTAAAACTGAATACAAATGTTTTGCATATTATGTCTTGACAGATAAACTGTAAGAATTGAATGGAACTCTCTAAAATTGTTTACAGATAGGTTGCATAGTTAGTCTTGACAAATAACAAAAAGAATGAAATAATTTGCTGTAAAATCAATGACAATAATTTTCATAATAAGCCTTGATTACTATACAAAAGTGAACTGGCCTACTGTAAAGTGAGCTACATGTACGTCCGAATACGTTTTAGATTGCTAGAAGATCATTGTTCCTTGTTTTCATTTATTACAGAAATAATTCTATTATTGTAGACACAAGTATACTCATGCAAAGCCAGTAACATTGCATATAACTGTCAATTAATTTACCTTTGTATTTCCGTAAATATTCACCATATCAATACATGGAGGAAAATGTGGGCCTTATTTAGAATTGCACCATACACGAACTTCTCAAAAAGGACAAACGTATGCTTACTATAAAATAGTGAAGGAAAGATAGAGGGGCGGATAGACGTGACCAGAAGACGAGGAAGAAGACGTAAGAAGATGCTGGATGACCTTGGGGACAGAAGAGGATATTTTCATTTGAAGGAGAAAGCTCTAGATCGCATTAAGTGGAGGAACTGTTTTGGAAGAGACTGTGGACCTGTCGTCTTGACAGATTACTGATGAATGAATACTAGACCGATACGTAAATTATTATTGTTAGTAGTATTATTATTTTTATAGCTATTATTATGTGTTCTATAATTCTTTAAATTATTATATTAAAAAGAAGAATCATTACTTCAGAAAATACAGCAAATCAGATCTCATAACAACTGTAATGTCTTTAATCGCAAACTGGTTAAAACCACCTTTAAAACAGACAGCTTTTCATAGTAAAATCTGTGGACAACAATCTGAAAACAAAATTTGAAATCTTATGTAAATATGTATACTTCCAGTGCTGGCCTATTATAGACCACTCGCTGCTGGCAATCACTTAAAGAAACAGACTGAACTGAATTTAATTATTATTGTAAGAAATCAACTAGGAGCAGTATTATGAAGCAAAAAACAGTTTTCTTATTGTTGATGCCGTCATTCAATCTGACATGGAATATATTTGCAAATACAGAATGACATGAGCTGCAGCCATTACTGGCATGGCATGAGCGGAACTGAGCCACAGCAAGGATTTGTGTTTGAGACTCGGACGACACTCTGCAGACGCCCATAGAGCTGCTCACACTCCAAGATTCGAGCTGGCGTATTAAGAGGACAAGGTCAGAGAAGTAAGGAATAACATTTATAGAGCCTATTAATAATACACTTTTATTTGGACATTTCTCGTATATTTAGGGGGAAACTCGTGTTTTTGTACAATATGATACTGAAAGTACAATAAGAAGTATGAAAAATTTGCACTGGATCAGTGACCTTTATTTTAGTTGCTGTAGGCAGGTAACCAGACGGTGAAAACCAGGTCACAGGCACTCGAGCGACCGGTACCTTGTGATTCTCAGCTCTCTCGACTTCCCGATGCACGGGCAAGCAGATTTTAATTAGTTCTATGTTCTTATCGCTTTTATTATCGCCAGCCCCCACATATAAATTAGAAGTTGGCCCAGGAACGGCATGTCAAAATCATTCTTTTATTGTCAAGATGTTCCAGCATCACGGAATTGTTTTGTAATTCTGCGTATGACAAATAAATATATATTTATGACATAAGTTGTAAAATTTCGCTCATTTTATGTTATATATTTAAGAGAGTAATACGACCATGTTACTGCATAATTTTCTATCGCGATAATTTGTATCAAACCAAGTATATGTATATGCACGTGAATGACATTCTAACTTTGGGAAGTTAATGTTATTCAGGAACTACAGTTAAGAAGAACTTGGGTCAGACAGGCAGTATAGCGACTGGATGCCTGCTAGACAGACGGAGTTCAATTTTTGGCACAAGCAAGGTATTTCTTTTCTCCTTCCATATCTGGCCTCTCTGGAGTTTACACAGACTTCTATCCAAGGGGTACCAAGCCCTCTTTCCGCAAGGGTAAAGTCGACTTGGGCATATAACTGACCGTTCATTTCCATTTAGTGCTGAGATCTAAATTACTTGCAGACGTGAGCGACTATCAATGTCACAAAAAGACTCTGCTCCTTGTAGTTAGTTGGTCGGTTAGATGGATGGATGGATGGATNGAAAAATTCAGGGAACAAGTCCTCCGGGAGGGACTTTAAGCCGTGGGTCCCGTGTCGTAGCTTTACGGCACGTAAAAGAACCTCATATCTCCAAAGGAGGTCACTGAGCCAAATTACGGACGTTTCCCGCCCAACAGCAGTCTCTAATACCTCTGGTAGATGGGGGAAGCATTATAGATACCTCTCAGCTAGTAGAGCCGGTCTCGCTGGCTGGGCGGGACTGATGGTAAGCACCAGTACCGGTAGGATATAGAGACTGGTAGAAATCATAGAGGGAAGCACAATGGACCAATACAGGTCTCAGTGCATGGGGAAACCCACCCTCTCCAATAACTAACTAACTAACTAGCCGGCTAGTTAGTTGACTTGAAAGGATTCTGACAATGGTTTATGCTGTACAGAACCATTAGGCTTATTTTGGATTCCATCCATCGTCTGGTGTATAGAAGACAAAAAACCACAACGTTTCGGGGTCCGGATCTGTCTCCGCTCTCAGGTGGATGGGGCAGAATAAACCTGCTCAGTTGGGCCCGTTTTTTCTTCTATATACCAGACGATGGACAGAGTCCAAAATAAGCGTAATAGTTCTGGCTATTTAAGTATTTACCTATGCATTTCTTGAGACGTACTCCCTTTGGTGTGTCTGTTTCGCCATTGTAGCTCGTATCTTGAAGATTGCTATTGAGCCTGGTTTTCACCAGTGAATTGCGAAGAACATGTTTGGTTTCTGAAAACAGTCTTAATGTTGTATCGATCCCCAGTACATCTTAACTAATCATACTTTGACGTAGGGGGATACCATAATGCACAAGAAGTGTTCTGTGTACTTACAGTATAGTAACGACGTCCAGATATGCTGACGAATGTCATAAAACGGTGGATGACCATTAAGTTCAAGGCAATGTCTAAAGTTTTTAACCTCATCAGGAAGGAATCATGTCTCTCGACTGAGCGATATTCTCTTACGTGAGTGTATGATTTGATTTCAAATGCAGATAGCATCCAGTGCTAGTTCGTTCCTTCGATATTTTGACGGGTTTTAATGACCAAGGCAACTGTAGAAGGAAAAGAAGACCTAACATAGTGGTCTGAATAGAGGATCTGAGATTTGGTACAATCAAGGAATTCCTGTACATTTTATATGTCATGTGACCATATCTCGTGTCTGACCCACAGAAACATGGTGGCTTTTTGGCGCTGTATCTAGAGCTACTTTTTTTTAAATGCTCTTTTATGTTAGTAACAATTGGAGAAGTGGAGCTTGCCATAGGCTTACCAACAGACTGACGGAAAAAAAAAATGTAACCTTAAAGTGAGTAGGTTTTTCACAGACATCAGCTTGTAAGTCTGAATGCTGTGTGATTAATCACTGTGAAACCTACTTCTGATGACATGTAGTTTTCCCCACATTGGTACATTGGTTAAAGAATACTCCGTGATTTTTTAGTGCGCAAGCGAACTGTACCGACCGAGCCACCGCCGCTTTTTGCCGAAGTTAGTGCCAACTTTAGCGGATAGAGGGTGTCACGTGGTCAGCGCAACGGATCCCCACGGTCATTAATTTCGGTTTTCTAGACCGGAAGAATAACCACATCAGAACTTAAAACGGTATCCGGTCTTTGCATACTGACGTTTTCTGAAGACTGATAATTTAAATATTCTGCATTTTTAAAAAATGGATGCACATTGCCTACTAGAAGATTGAGTATTTTATGAACAAACCCACAAACAGCTTAACATACAGAAAGAGTGAAACACATGATTCGTCTTAGAGGGATATCCAGATTGTGTGTTTTTGGAAGTCCATATCTGTGTGAAGATTTCCTGCGCTGTGGAGTGAACATGCGTTCTGATAGCTGGCCTGTGCCCAGACAGGGGTAACTGCATCTTCATCTCATCTGCGATTGTAGGACCTTTAGAAATAAGTTCATAATCATAGTTCCTACAGTCTAACAGGGTGTATAATTGTTCCTTATGCAGATTTTTCCAATAAGCCTAACACAATACAGTACACTACACTATACAGCAGTAGGCCTACTATAGTAGAGTAAAAAGGAAAAGTGCTTAACTAATTAAGCACTACGCCATGAAGGTGTATAGGGGGGATGGATGTATAGGCCCATCTTTTCTTGACCTCGGCATTAGTTGAAGGTGAGTTGTCAATTTCACGCCCCGGTCGCTTTACCTCCCGTGAAAGGACTCCCGTTACCCATTGGATAGGAGGTTGCGTGGACCCCGGAGCCGGCCTGGACGACATGGAGAAGGGAAAATCTTGACCCTACCGGGACTCGAACTCCTACCCCTCTGTCGTCCATTTACTACGCTATCCTGGTTCTTATCGAGTTTCAAAGATTTGATTCATGAAGCACAGATACAATCCTGCAGCTAAAGCCCGTAATGACACAGGAGCAGTGTAGGAGGAATTTTAGACACATTTTCTGCTAGACGCTGGAATGTGATGTGGCCCCTCAAAAATTGAGCCCTTCCCTGAGTTATGTTTCCACACATTCTGTAGCCATATGTTGCGATAAATGTAAGAATAATTTATGGGCTCCAGAATAAAGGGAAAGTGGAAAAGTCCAGGAACCGAGATTGGTTTCGTCTTACGGGTCCAATGGAGTAGAAATGACTAAGAGAGACCTAATATCCCAAAAGTTAAATTTTTGGTCTTCTGACAGTGCACAGTGTTGAAACACTAATCATGTTTATTGCCATTTTAGACAATCAGGAAACTTAGTACTAAGTTTATAAGAAATAGTGTTCTTGAAACTTGACATTTCTTAACGTAGATCGATTGTAGCGTCTCTGAAATCAGTTCTAAGATTAATATAGGCAAAGTCACTAACTGGCCGCGTAAAAACCTGACGAACGTCGCGTACTGCAAGGTAATGCGGGGAGGGAGGGGAGGTATGGAATGTGGAACATTTTCCATGGTCTCATAGACAGACACGATCTGGTATAATTATAAATGTATCAGTTTACAAACGGAACTAAAGCGTTTCATTACTGACAGATGCTGTTATAATATATTAAAATTAATTACTGAGGTAATCCCAATTAAATTAATTGACACAGTGTTCGTAAGCGTGAGTTAGTAACTGCACAAATTAGAATGTGAATGTAAGTTAACATATTTGTGCATACTTTTGAAAGAAGCTCATAAAATGAACGCATGGAAAGGAAATCATTTCTGTGTCGGAGAATCTCACCTTATACTGAACATGTTTTAATTAAATTTGGTATTTATGATCTTCGCTATACCGACCGAGCGACTGGCGCTTGTCGGCGAAGTTAGTGTCAACTTTTGCGGATAGAGAGTGTCATGTGGTTAGTGCAACGGATCCCCACGGCCGTTAATATCGGTTTTCTAGACCACGGCCGCTCTTTCTTTGAAATAACTCCTCGGTTATCCTCACGAGGCTGAGTGGACCCCGTTCAAGACCCATTACTACTCAGAAAATCTGGTAGCGCCGGGAATCGAACCCGGAACCTCTTGATATGTAGGCAAGAACTCTGACCGCTAGACCACAGAGGTGGTCTAAGAATATAAAATAATCTATAAATGTTTGTTATTGTCTAATATTGTCCCCAGCGTCGTTAGGTTTGCAACATCTGATTTATAATTGCAATAAATGAACATAAACGACTGAACGATATGCAGAACCACAAAGATTCCATCTGAGGCCACGCCATAGCTGAAGCGGTTAGTTGCCGGCTTCCCACAGAGGCGGCCCGTGTTCGATCCCGAGTCTGGTCAAGTGGGATTTGTGGTGGACAAAGTGGCACTGGGGCAGGTTTTCTCCGAATACTTCGGTTTCCCCTGCCAATCTTCATTCTACCAAATTCTCCATCATCATAATCACCCGGGGCAGGCTACAATAGGCCAATCAGTGGCCTCCGTGCCGAGTGGACCCAGTTGGACGCCACCCCCCACTAAGCGAAGATTCCATCTGAGTGTGCGTGTGGGTCTAACCAAAGTTGTAATGTAATGTAGTGCATTTCCATTCTTTTCGCAAGTGTCACACGCCTGCAGCAGAGAGCGGCACTTCTGTTAAGTTCGTATTGTACACGATACTAAAACCTGGTGAGAGAATTACTTTATACCCACCCAGCTAAATCCGTTCCGGGTAATATTTGTCACCCACTGGTCAATGATACCGGTGAATTCCGGGTCTGAACGTGACACCAAGGTAACGGAATAAATCATGGGGAGGGGGGGATGCTGAGCCCCCTCCCGCTCTCCTTTAGCCTGTTAGGTTGTAGAGGAATTGGTGCGTATAATGATCCCTTTTGCTTGCAGTGAATGGTGCTTTGTGGCAAAATTCAATACCTAGCACTGGACAGACGTAATGTGTCTTCTCTCCGCACATTTCAGCCCGTATAACAGACAGACTTTAGCAATCGCAATGAGTTTTTTGTGTTGGAGTACTTCACGGTACTTGCAAAAGACAGAGAAGAAACGTTCAGAATTTATGAGCTTCTGAACAGAGATTCTTACATCAGGCACCATTGAAATACACAAAACTATAATTTTACGTTTCTGTTTGTGTGTGAAACTTTGCCTCTCGGCGTGCAGGAAAGACAGAGTTGAGGGTGTCTGAGAGCACGCTGAAGGTAAAGGTAAAGTTTTAAGCACTGCGCCATGAAGGCGTATGGGGAGGAGGATGTAGAGATCCATATTTTCTGGACCTCGGCACTAGTTGGAGGTGAATTTACCCTTTACCCTCGGAGAAGGAGCACGCTGTACCAATTCGATATGAGGCTGGGTGGGCCCCAGGGCCGGTCTGGACGACGTGACGAAGAGAAAATTCTTGACCCCAGCTGGACTCGAACTCCGACACGTCCGTCGTCCAGTCCGTATCCAGTCGCTATACCGACTACGCTATCCCGGCGTCTGAGAGCACGGTTGTGAGGAAAATATTTGTAATTAGAGATATGAAGTGTTAGAGAGTGGAGAAAAATGTATAATAAAGATCATCATTTGTAGTCCTAATCGAACCAAACTTTCTTCTTCTTCCTCTTTTATGGTATGACAGGGCAGTTCGTTTCAAAGCCCCCCAGGTTTCGGAATATTTGAACAGAGGACCTGCCTGTCGAAGGCCTCCACGTACACAGGGCAACACAAACACAGATACTCTTGATGTCACTGAGCGGGCTTCGAACCAACTATCCCATTGTCCAAGCGGTAGAAGAGAGTACACGCCTTAGACAGCGCGGTCACTGTGATCTGCACAAAATGTTACTAGGGTGATTAAGTAAAAAATTATGATACTGATGGGTCATGTAGGACACGTGAGAAGGTCAGAAATGCATCTATGGCTGTACAGGCCTTGTGGACCATGGCCGCCTTCTCGGTTTCTTGATCCCGTACACAGTCTCTAGGACTCCTTGGACGGGGATCAGCCCGTCACAAGGCCGCTGTCTACACACAGGACAGCACAAATAGAGAACAAACGTACACAGACATCCATGCCTTCAGTTGGATTAGAACCAATGACCCCAGTGTTCGAGCTGGTTAAGACAGTTCATGCCATAGACCGTGCGGCCAGTGTGATCGGCCTAAGTAATGCATAGGGACATTAAATATGAAATTATGAAGGGATTCCTTCAGAGACCTAGGTGGATGGGGAATAATGTTATGATGAATCTTCAAGAAATATAGTGTGAGTGCTTGGGCTGGACTAATTTGGCTCAGGATATTGGCCAGTGTTGGGGTCTTGTGAACATGATAATGAACCTTCACGCTAAGTGCCTTAAAAGGCGGCAATCATCAACATTCTCCTCAAAGACAATTAATGCGTTTAAAGTGTTTGGGTCAGCACATGAACGGATTTCTGGCAGATAACATGGCATCGCGGTTGTGAAGAGAAAGCCGAGAGAAATTTTACACTCGCAAAAATGTATACATCCAGACATAACAGTCTTCAGTTCTCCTTTCTTTCCAGATAAGACCATAAATATACTTTATTTGTCACGTTGTAGTACTGATAACACCAATAAATTAAAACCATATCCTGTTGGGCGCCAACGCCCAGTCAAGGCCCGGCAGACCTTGCGATCTTGTATACAATTGCAGCCTTGAATCTGTTGCGATTGCCTGCAGAGTACGTGCACGTACGTGGAACAGGAAGACTAGGCCTATATATCGGTGGTGTTGCGTAGTTTGTCTGTTTGTCCAATATGTAACTACTTTTACCTACACAGTGTTGTGTCTGTAATTGGGCTTGCGGCTGTTGGCTCAGCACGTAAATACTACAGAATAGAAATGAATCATCATCGCCACCCCGTGGTTACTGATTGGGTTAAGTTGACAGCTGTACCGATTTCAGCATCTTCCCAGTGTCCCCTTGCTCTCCTTGTACTTGTAGGGCTACTTAGCATGTCAAGCCATTCTCTCTACGTTATCTTCCTGTCTCCTCATCACATATGAACTAATCTCTGCAATAAATTATAGACTTCAGTTTTCTCACTCATTGCAATGTCTCTTTCCTGCGTAACCTCGAGCCTAACTGTAATTATGTACGCTTTAACACTACAGTATGATCGTCTTGACAGCTTCTCTGCAGTAACTGGGCCGCTGAGGTGGAAGAAACAGACGCTCATCATATTAGCCCGGCCGTTAGCTTACTCCACAGACCACTAACCCTTACATATTAAAATTCTGCTTAAGTATAGCCACAATGAATTTTTGAACAGTTTTATAGACAATCAGCTTACAGATTTCTTTTTTAAATTCTCATAGTGGGGGGTGGAGTCCAGGTGGGTTCACTCGGCACGTCGGCCACTATTGGTCTATTGTACCTGCCCTGGGTGATTATGGTGAAGAATTTGGTGGAATAAAGATTGGCAGGGGAAACCGAAGTACTCGGATAAATCCTGCCCCAGCTACACTTTGTCCACCGCAAATCCAAATTGACCAGACCCGAGATCGAACCCGGGCCGCTGCGGTGGGAAGCCAGCGACTAACCGCTTGAGCTATGGTGAGGCCTTCATCAGCTCACAGATGGCGGTGAGGTTGTCACCGGTTGCTCTTTACCTCCCAGGAAGATTCCTGGTACTCATTTGTGTTAAAGGGTGAGTCGACCCCAGGGCCATGGTGTGGCTGGAAGTATTAGGTCAGTTGAGAAATTCAATGACCTGATCGAGACTAAAACCCGCGACCTTCCGGCTTGTAGCACAGTGCCTCAACCAAATGCGCTATGTTCACCTAGTTCTGAAAATCATTTTTATTCTCTGTCACAATGTAACACAACGAGCATTCATATACGACACCTAAAGGAAAAGTAATGGAGTAAAAAAAATTAGGAGGTGGTTTCGGCATAAACTGAAGATATAACAGTACAAAATACTGACAATATTGGTACAATTTTAAATAAATTAAGACGGACAGCGTCGATATTGAAGAAGAAATAACCGAATCAGAAGGCCGAGTAGTTTTATTTCCAGAGGCACTAGAATATCCTTGTGGAGCCAAAGAGAAGTTCTGCTGTAATGTTGGTACCATTAATTGGTAATTGTATACGCTCTTGGTTTGTCGATTAAGCTAGCAGTACGAACACACATTTTGTTCCATCCTACTGTGTAAATGACTATAGATAATTTTTATTACAGTCCTGTCAAAACAACTCTATTTCCAGCAGGTAGAGTTTGTTATCTAGGACGACATGTTTCGGCACGTTAAGTATATGAAAGAATAATTGTAACTAAAAACCAGACATGAAGATGGCATATAGGCGCCGAAACGTGTCGTCCTAGAGAGAAAACTCTACCTTCTGGAAAAATCGTTGTGTTAGCAGAATTATAATGACTATTATCTAGCAGTACGAATCTCAGCGGGTCGAATGAAAATGTCAGTAACTTCCGCCTGAGAGACTCAGCGACTTTCCGGAAGTTCTCGGACGATCGAACTGTCACGTGTGTTAGTGACTATATGCGGGGTTTGGACTGGTGAATAGATTTACTGATCATTTACAGGTCGTAACTACAAATAACCATAACACTATTGCTGATATGCACACTACGAATCAGCCCACACTCAGTCCTCTCAGTCTGCTTTCAACTCTCTCTGGTAGCCGAGTTATGCATTACAAATATTAGCTAAAGAATTTCACAAGCTTTTATTATAGCCTAAATACAAATTGCCATGGTAATTGGTAATTAAATATGACAAATTGTAATTCGAATAAAATACGTAGGTACAATGTTTAAAACTGAATTTTATAGGTGTATGAGCAGATGAAGAGTATTAATCTTGAAACGCCTCGGTATTTATATGGATGTCTCCTATATCATATGGAATTCCATATCCCTAATATATCTTTATAGTGGAATATAGTATCAGTATATCGTACCATTGCATACTTCTACGGACTTAGGGACAGGAGTTTGATTTCTGACAGGGCAGGTGTTGCCTCTTCACCAACACGGAGTGGGATGCTAGGGCTCTGTTCCGTAGGGAAAGGAGGTGAAACAGACTGCTCGTCTCCATCTTGTGTTGAGGTTACAATGCGTGAAACTGCGCTTCCAGTCTTCCATTCGTCTTCATATTGTGATACCAAAATACAGGGGCAAACTTATCTTTACCTGTCACGTACATCAATAATCTCATAACTTTCAGACATTCCTCATGCCTCAACGAATTTTTCATTCCGCTGTTTCAGAAGGCGTCAGAAGTACCATCCTTCAGACAGGATGAAGTCCGCGGATCGAATGTCAGGTTCGGATGAAGGTTCCGGAACTCCTGACCAGGACCACAATGTCGCCTTCTGGCCAGAGGACGATGAAGAAATTGAAGTTGACTATATGCATCTAGGTTCCGAGGATTCTGGAGGAAAGACAGGAGACGCAAAATCTCGTCAAGGTAGCGTCATCTTTCTGTACTGTCCTACTGAAAATTGAGGGTTCTTCAGAACAGAACTTTGCAACGCCTAACGAAGGACATTGTAGTAAATTCAAATGTTTACTGCCGCGCTTAATGCACTAAACCATAGTAAATGAAGAACCGGTCAGATTGGTCCCATGGTTCTTGACGATTCTGGACATTCTGGACACTACGATTCCAAATCCTGATCTCGCTAAGTGCATAATAGTACGTCCACGTCTTTCTATCATGCATTGTCCTGTGCAAGAAAAGGCCTTGCAATGGGCCGGTCTTCCGTCCAAGGAGTCCTCTCTCTAACATACAGGAGTGCTGCATACCAAATATGACTGAGAGAATATATGAACTTGAGGCATTGTATCTCATAGCGGGGAAACACTTAAAGATTACAGGATACCGAAAATATCAATTAAGATTATAGTAATGTATTGCTCATGGGTAAATATATTGGATATGCCTATAATTAGTATGGTGGAGACAATAAATATGTACCGAATTTGGGGCGAAATACCATCTGGAAACCATAGAATACTGAAAAGATGGGGGATAACATTAAGCCACATCTTAAGGAAATAGCTATGAGTTAATGGGGCTGACTCAGGATCGTGTCTATTGGTGGATATTGGCATTAGTGGTGTCGTACCCTCGGGTTTTACTGTGATGTCAAGGGTTGCCATTTTGTGTTCTAGACTGTTCTGATAGTTCAGGAAGTGAGGGCCCTTCACCCTCTAGGAAACAGTCACGACCAAAACGGAAAGGATGCAGTGGAAGCGTGAATGGTGGCAGTGGCAGGAGGAGAAAGTCAGGAATCTCAGCGCGGGAGAGGAACCTGAGGAGACTGGAGAGCAATGAACGGGAGCGCATGAGGATGCACTCCCTTAACGATGCGTTTGAGGTAAGTCACGGAACCTTTACAGTTCTTTGAAAATAGGCTTTATAAACAACAGAAACATTAACAAGGCATATTAACCTCTTAACCAACAATAGACATTAGTGCACTTCCACCCCTCCTTGGCACTACAGCCGCAGTGGGTTCACTTCGGTTTTTCTAGATCTTACACATTCGGTAGGACTCCTTGGGCGGGTGATCAGCTCGTCGCAAGGCCTCTACCTGTACACAAACACAGAAAAACGCACACAAACATCCATGCCCTGAGTGGGATTCGAACCCACGATCCCGGTTTCCAAGTGAGCGAAGACAGTACATGCCCTAGACCGCTCGGCTACCGTGACCGGCTTAGTGCACTTTAAGAAATAAATATTTTATTATTTTTATTATTAAATTGAGGTTAAAAAGAAGGGCATTATGCCATATCTGATATAATCTCCACAATTAATTGCCATGACACCAAACGGTACAGCTCCTCGATATGAAATAGTTTGTCCTATGTACTAAACCACACGTGACTGAAGGATTGCTTTATGCATTAATCCATATGTGATTGCATCACAAATTGCATAGAGGCAGATATGTTTTCTTTTGTAATTTGTAAGTATTCACACCGCCGATATACTCTTATACCATGTGCTCTTAATAATATTTTGTATGATACAAGATTGCCTATTTCTTGAGAAATCAATTTCAGTATTTTCTTCATCTGAAGATCAGCGTGAAACAAAATTAAATTCACCTAACAGCTTCATATATATACAACCACCCCCCTCCATATTGCATTTCAGTGAAAGCCACTGAAAAGTTTGGGAGATGAAACATCTGAACCTGCATTCACTTTGACCACTTCTTGTAATGAAGGAATAAATGCGTCAAAACACATTGTAAGTGCGCGACTTCTCAATTTTGTTCAGGAAACAAGAAACATAGCCAAGTATGTGTATCCATTCTTTGTAAAAATTGACATCTTAGCAACATACACACATTTCAGGAGTCCTGCTCCACAAATTTTAACTACATCCAATGTGGCAGATTAAATTACGTCAGTTTTTCCTAATTAATTTGGGCATCGAACCTCTTCACGGTTGAAAAACTTTTATAGAATCCCTAATACAGTTCTTACATATGAAGCTACCTCCACATCATAACTCAATCAATATGAAGACACACACACACATCCAACATTACAATGCTCACAGGCAAAAAGGAAGGACACATCACAAGACACGGTGAGTACTAAACATTATAAAACAACATGTAACAGATAGAAGTCGAAAGTAATAATAATAAGTACCATTTTCACGTTGCAGGTATACAAAAAATATAGGAAAAACGACTCCCATAGCGGAAGAATCATACAATACGCAAGTTTGAATTAAGACATATAAGATGATAAATCTTAACAAGTTTTAGTGTATACAAATTTTATTATAGTTGATGAAGAATGTACATTTTAAATAATTTTATGAACAACACATGATGGCAAGCAATGCAATAGCTTAGCGTAAACAACGCACCTGAGGATGGCACAGTGATACCGAAACATGTAGTGAAGTGACATGTGAGATTGAGTGCACTACAAGATGGCCAGTACATACATATCATGGACGAGAATCAGTGCAACAGGACGCTAAAATACAACATTATAAAAAAAATAAGCTACAAATAAGTAAGGATAATAGTAAATAAATACTGAACAAGGATATAAAATCAACATATTATTTAATTGCACATATTTAGAAATAAAAATCACATTTAATGTACATAAAAAAGCTTAAAAACTAATATGCCAGGTACATTAAATTTTTAATGCCAAGAGTAGTTCTTTTGTTCTTTTACAAATTCTTTTTATGCTTCACATGATACCAGACACGTAAATTCTCAGATCCGGGGCCACATTTAGTCTGTTTCTGTATTTCATTTTTGTTGCTGCATAAATTGAGAATCCAGTATCGCTCAAGTACGTGCTGGTGAATGGTATCAGCTCATGAATGCAGATCTTGATAAAGCTTTCTGAAACAAAAACACTCAAAAGTGGGATTTGTGGTGGACAAAGTGGTGCTGGGGAAGGTTTTCTCAGAGTACTTCGGTTTCCCCTGCCAATCTTCATTCCACCAGTTGCTCCACAATCACCCTCACCTATCATCTGGGGCTGGTACAATAGGCCAGAAGTGGCCGCAGTACAAGGGACTTAGTCCCACCCCACTAGCAATAAAAAAAAATTGAATGTCTTAACCTTTTCAGTCATCTATGTAATTATTGATCACAGTTCTAGCCTATAATAACTGATTGCCTTTAGGGATGAAAATGCCTGTTCAGAATTAGGTAGACGCTCTGGATCAGTGGAAGAGCCCAGGGAATGATCAACAAATGTTATGAAGGAAATTATTACAGTGCATGTGGGCTTTGTTATTGCCAGGTTTGGGTATTTAGGCTGGGCTACCAGAGGATTGGCTATTTATAATAATGCCAGTAACATCAATAGGCAACAACCGTTTTAAAATATTGGCGATTACACATTGACTGACTGAATTACAAGAAAGTAGAGGAAAGCTTTTTGCACTCATAATTTTGTTTCTAGGTTTTGAAAGTCTTTGTCCAGATTTTATTCACTGAATATATGTTTGGTTTCCAGCAACTTCGAGAAGTCATACCACATGTAAAGATGGAACGTAAGCTATCGAAAATAGAAACCCTGACATTAGCAAAAAATTACATCATGGCACTCACTAATGTAATATGTGAGATGAGAGGAGAAGAGAAGCCATACACGTGAGTAGCAATCAAGTTTTAGAGCAGTGTTTTTCAACTTTTCCCACATTGAGGCACACAGAAAATTCCATATCGCAGTGCCAGGGCCAGCTATAAGTAGGACAGATGAGAGCAGTAGCACCAGGGCCTCTGCAAAACAAAAATATAATCGGCAGATTTTATTGATGCATTTACTTATCTAAAATTATCAGAAGTTTGTTTGTGTTATTAGTTTTATAAGAAATTATATGTAAAAAAAATAGAATGATCATAACTTGATTTTGTCATTACTCAAAGGGGGTCTCCAAATTTTGATTGAACTGTAAATGCAGCCCTACTCACTGCACAACAAATCATTCATTAATGTAAAGCTGTAAGTGTGTACGAACACATAAAATATTACAATAATAATTTTTTATTTTATCATAATTTCAATGAAAAAAGGTGTTACCAGTACAAAGTCTTCCCGGATAGACCTGTCTATATGATTACCCTAGCTGGTTGATCAGACTAGATGCTCCTTTGATATGAAGATGTGATGGCTGATATTTCTGTTTACCATTCAATACAGGTTCCTGGATGTAGACTGCGGATCTAATTCAAGCACAAACGGTAATAACAGCAGTGGAGAACAAGGTCCTGAGGAAGACATGGCAGAACCAAATAATAATTCCCTATTCCAAGAAAACCTAGAACATAGAACAATGACAGGGACTTCAAGCATATCAATACAGGACATATGACATATGCTCTGCCTTGGAAAATCTGCATGTTGCTGTAGTCGGTTGATCATCTCAGGGATTCTTTCGACATTCTTTGTGAGAATCCAAATTAGTGAAATACGTAATGTTAGTTACCAATATGATGCTAAAATTTGCCAAAACAGGAAGTTAACACAGTCAAATTATTTTTTGAATATTTATATCTCTTTACCTTCACAACATTGGATTCCTTGAGGGACTGCATTGAGATGGGGGTGCGCAGTGGACCTTCTAGTGGTCTTGAGTACTTGGGAAACGGGAAATAATCCCCGCCCCTCATATCAGTGCAGTACAACATACAAAACCCACAATATATTTCTATGTTTTGTGTTAAAGTTTGTGAAGAAGAAACGAAGATGAAGAAAGAAGAGATAAATATGAGACTTGAAGATGGGGAACTTGGGACTAGGAACTGGACTGAGCCTCACTAAGTGTACATGACATAATTAATAATCGTAAGATATCTAAGTCAATTTGTTTCCCAGTATACAGCACTAAAACACAAAACTATAATTCTTGTTTCATCACTTGATAAATTACATCCTCTCTGTATAAGAAAGCAACAAACAATGTTGTATTTTGTTTTGTACCATGGAGTTAGCTTAGTACACTGGGATGATAAAACAAGTTTATGCGCAATAGATTCCATCAGATGTAATGTATGATTTTATACATCACTACTTTAACTTTTCATACAGCTGACTGCATACAGACATCACGCATAACATCACAATGACATCCTAAACGTGGTCAGGAATGAACACAATAAAAGTAGACTTTATAGCAAATAGTTCATTTAGATGTTATGTGCCAGTGTTCAACCATAGATAATTGAGTTGTTAACTCCAATCCTTTATTCTGGAGATTCCAGATTTAGTTTGACCCAGAATTTGACTCAGATTTTTCATTCTTTTTTTCAGTTCCTCCAGTATAAATCGAGGCTAATAAATGAAAGGGGATTGTATAATTTCCTTTCCCGTCCTTCCAAATTCATCACTTATAGTCATACATTTGATACTGTATATCCCAAGAGGTTAAGAAAGTGTCACTAATAAAATATTATGCAATTTGCATATGAATTAAAATAAGACACATTGATAGTAATATGTAGTCTGGCAGTAAGGTTCGCGAACTCATTGGTAAAAGTGCTACATACCTCACTGCTGAATATCACTTCAAAGTCCTCCCTTTTGGAAGATATGCATCGATGCCAGCGCTTAGTCTACCTTTCAGAACAATTTTGGAACAGGTTTTTGCAGAATGCCCTTCAGAGCTGCTGTTGTATTACTCCTGATATCATCAATGTCATCAAAATGCCTTCCTTTCAATATTTTCTTTATCTTCGGGAACAGAAAAAAATCACTGGGGCCAGATCCGGTGAATTGGGTGTTCCAGCACAGTTACTTGTTTACTAGCTAAAAGCTCCCTCACAGACAGTGCCATGTGAGCAGGTGCATTGCTGTGATGCAAGACAGCAAAACGCCCTCAGATAATAATAGATACTAGTCAGAAAGAGACTGCCATAGATCAACAGCAATACAGCTGTGAAAAGCTGATATACCAACATCATCAAACTATAGCGAGGTCTCCATCCACTGCTGCCACTGCAAGCACACAATGACGAGTTCACGAACTTTATTGTCAGACCTTGTATGTTGTTTTCCAAAACACGTCATATTTCATTTCAGCATGTACGAGTAACTTATGAAGTGAAAATGGTTTTGCTGTTAACAAAATAAGTTGGCAGAAACAGTCAGGCCATAGCACACTGTCACACTGTGAGAACTAAACCAGTCAACATCAGTCAAACTCTTGCTAAAAATACTGTTTTTCCCCTCATAGATCTACTAAACTGTCAAGTCACACAGTTAAGATATATGGTTTTGGACCTAAGAGAGTTAAATGCTTTGTTTCAAATAAAAAGTCCAACTGTAACAATTACACAGTAATTAACAATATGATAATAGTAATAAAAATCTGTTGATAATTAATCATAGATTCAGTTCAGTTGCATTACAGCCTATAACAAATTCGAGCATCATTTCAATTTTACACCTTTCTCTTCATAACTACACTACAAAACACTTCTAATCCAGCATATTTCTCAATCCAAATTGTTTAATCAATATTTAATCTTTACTGAAAATTAATTTCTGTTCTTTCATCAGACCAGTTCCAGAGTCCTGTCAGGTTACTAACAAATATAAGGATCCAGTGATATACATAGTTTCTATTTTATTATTTCTTTACTTCCTATCTATTATCTCATTTAATGAAGATAATGAATGAAATAATAATATAAGTTAATGATTAAAGATGTAAAAAAGTGGCACACAGAAACATCCTCTAATGGTTCCTGTGACCTCAAGAATCAAGAGTACCAATACTTTTATTATTTTAATTTATGATGTAATCTGTTGTAAAGAATATGAGATGTAAAAGCAGTTTAGAGGACTATCACGTAAGAAGGATAAAACTGTTATGCTGCCGTCATTTTATAGACATGTTTAGTGAGAACTTATTGTTATAGATGTAAAATATTGCATATAACTAGAAACAATGTGCCAGCTTTATGGCACAAAGGGACAACAATTATAAAATGTCACCAATTCAGCAATACCTGTTAAACTGTTTATAAAACCAGTGTATGTGTTTCAAATTTTATTTCTGGCCATATAGTATACTGTTAACCATGACTTTCTTCTGGTGGTCCAAAATGGTTCCATGTTTCAACACTATTTCCATAAAACACGGATGTTTAGATTTTATTCAAAATTAAAGAATAATAGAAGTTGAAATAAGGATGTTTTTATTATTAATATGTCACTAAATTTTTACAATTCTGGACATACTGGTGAGAGTGTTTGTTGAAAAAAGTAAGATTGCTTTTCTTTTCCCCACCCAGGGTACCTTACTAAAAAAGTAAAGCATGCTGTTAACCAACTTTTTGTCTACTTTCCAGAACATAGATATATAAAAATAATTGTTTCACAAGCTCTAGGATATGAGAGTCAATCAAAGGTGGTTATGAAGAGTTTTGTCTTCTGGAATGTAACACCAGGTAGTCTGTTGAGACTCAATTGATGTTTCAGATAAACATGATGCCTCCTTCTTCAGGGTCAAATAATATGCCAAGGAAGAAACCAGCATGATGCAAATAGCATGTAAAGTAGGTAGCGTTTAACAGACTACATGGTATTATGAAAGACAGAACTATTTATTTTACAAGTTGTCTCACGTGTTCCTGAAACAGGGTTCTTATGGTTTTGGGATCACGCATTGTAAATCTTTGAAACAATACCTTTTTGAAGAAAGCTACCACCTTCAAAATGTTTGCATACACCTGTTAAGACTCTATGTGTCCCAAACCAGAAGATTGCAATGGAGACTTTTCTGTTAAAAAACTCTGAATCTATGTCTTGACTACAGGTTAGAACTGCCAATTTTGCTACTAATTACTGGAAAACTACCTGTATTTCTTTGCAGATTAGGGACCACCACAGTTTTAAGAATAACAGAATACATAGGACATTTCCTTAAAAAAACTTTCCATGTTCTCTTTTTTAATTTAATAGTATTTCAAATACTTCAGCCGAAGAGTCCCATACCCACAATACCAATAATTATAATGATAGATAGTCTATTGTGAGGTATAAACTATTTTACTGCCTCCTGGAAAATCTAGTGATTCAGAGATAGATGTAAGCAGTCCTTAAAGAAAGCCAGTGATATGGGTTCAGAGTGGGATGCAACAAGAATTGTCACAGAACCAGAAATGAGAAAAATGATGGAAAATTGACAGAAATATAGTAACTGTTTCTTCTATACCATGAAAATAATAAAGTTTTAATGTCTCAGTGTAGGGGTTAATCCTCGTGCTTTGTATTTTGGAGGTCTAGAACTTGAATTCCAACCTCATGATGCTCTCCTGAATACGGTGATATCAGTTGAAACATGTCACGCATGTAGGTGATTTTTATAACTTAATGTTAGTGATGTGTATAAAATACGTAACATTTTTAGTTAGAAAATATGAACCAATATACATCATACGCTTACTATATACTTCAACAAATATAGAGGGAGGCAGGAAATGTTTCAGACAAATACTGTAGCATTCAGTGAATTACATTAGATGATAAGTTATTTTAAAAATGACTGTGATACACTGTCTAATTTGCCAGACTTCTCTGTTCCTATTTCTGCATTTCTTTCCAAGGCACCTGAGAAGGCCTATGAATTGCACAGATTGAATACCTGCATCCACTGTTGGCACAAAAATTCATTCTGAACAAATCAAAGTACTCTTCAAGTGCTTAGGAAGTAAATGCGTACATGGGGATTTTAATTTGACTCTAGGTTCTTCTATTGCCAATATTTCAGACCTTCAGCAGCTATGCTATTTTTGATATCATATTTCCATACCAGATACATTTCATATTCTTACCAGTTGTATGTCTGCAAGCCTTCATATTATATAGTTACAGAGAAATGAAAGATGTACTTCATATTTTGGTATAGTTTGCCTGCAGACTAAAGGCCATGGAGTTTATAATAATTTGGAACAGGTCTTTTCCTGTAGTGCAAAATGCTATAATATTACATAATCTTTTTAGGTGCTCCTTACAAAGTATAAAATATTATCTTACATAGAGTCATGTTGACCTATTCACCTATCTCTCTGTCAGAAACCTAGTGTCAGCATATAAATTATTGGATGGATTTCTTAAAGTCCAATATTGTAGACTTTTACCAAAACTGTTAGGGAAATTCTGATTTTCAGCCATAATGATCCACAGTAAAGACTGGTTTACATAAAACCATAAATGTACTCTTCCATATGTACCATGAACTGTTTAATAAATTGTGTCAAAATTAGGTGTGGATGACCTACACCAAAACATCATGGGCAATTCCATTTTTCATCAATATTGAACTGTACATAGGCCTAGTGTATGTAAGACCATAATGATATTTCTGTATAGCAGATACACTACTTCATATATTTGTGATTCAGTAAGGGAGACATCCACTGAATTTGCTGGAAACTTTCAACTTTCAGCCATACTGATCCATAATAAAGCCTGGTTTGCATGAGGCTATAAATAGAATAATCTTTGTATCCCACAATAATTATGCAGATACTGTTGAAATCCAATATAGGATACTTCCATCAATTTGTATTTCCATTTTTAAGTAGACTTAATTAACTTCAATTCATCTATTTTGCTTCATGATTACTGCCACAGTTTCTCCAGGAAAAGAAAATCATTGATTGTGAGAAAATGAGAAATTTTTAAATACAACTTTTTCAATTTATTTACCTTCGTATATTTTGAGAAAGGCAAGTCCATTATTCATATGTTTCAACACATTATTTGAACAGAATATCTGGATCTGATCCTTGTTAATTAAGCTTTGAACAGTTTTATAAACATTTCTAAAAAGCACACACACATCCTCTCTTTCTATGTGCTTCCTATAGAAATAGCTATATGAAACTAACTGGAACTCAGGTCTTTTGAAAATATTTTAACTTAAATTTAGAATCCACACAGGAACTGTGCAATAATATAGGAGAGAACTGGATGACAGTGTTACTTCTTATTAAATTAAAAAAAGCGGCCTCCGTAGTCTAGGGGTAACATTCCCACGTCATGACTCAAGTTACGTGGGTCAAACCCGGTGGAGGTCGTGGAATTTTTAAGGGCGGAAAAATTCAGGGAACAAGTCCTCTGGGAGGGACTTTAAACCATGGGTCCCATGTCGTAGATTTACGGCACGTAAAAGATCCTCATTTCTCTAGGAGACCTCTGGGCAAAATTAGGCAAAAAGTTTCCTGCCCAAGTAGTTTCCAATGCCTCCAGTAGATGGGCAAAGTTATCGGGTACAAATGCCAGTAGAGGGCCGACCTCGCTGGCAGAAAGGGGAGAGTTATGAGGTACCACTGCCAGTAGATGGCCGACCTCGCTGGCAGAAAGGGGAGATAGTGGGCACGAGTATCGGTAGGGTATGGAGACAGTAGAAATTAAAGGAGGACGTACAATAGACTATTAGTCGCAGTGCATGGGGAAACCCACCCCCTCTATACTGAATAACTGAATAAATTAAAAAAGCATATAAGAAAATTAAATCCCCAACATAGATTTTTGTATTTATTATATCTGTACAAAACATGCAAATAATGGCAAAACTGTTCCAGGGTTTTTATATACCTGTACATATATATTATATACTAGGGTAACTCAGTTCTAACTGGACAGGCACAATTTGATTCCCAGCAAAACACATAGCCCTTTCAGATCGAAACTTAAAAGAGTGTTTCATGGGCAGTATAAATATAGAGATTATATAAAAGGTATTAAACTTATCATCATCATCATCATCATCTTGTTTTTCTCGTCATCATATTTATATTCTCTTGTCTCTCTCTCTCTTTTTTTTTTTTTTACTTTCATCTTACTCATTTTCCTGCACATTCTCTCTTAATTTCCTCCTCCTTCTCTTCTTATACTACTGATTCGCTACCTGCTTCTTCTCATTTTCTGCTATTTGACAAGAAATAAGTAATTTACAAATCAATACAGTTGTTCTTGAGAGTCTGAAATGGATAGATATAGTGAAGGCAAGAGAGCTCTCTATCTCTCTCTCAGATCATACAGTGCTGAAAGCGAAGTTGTCTCTACCTTGCCACTACTATGGAACTAGTGCCAATATGATGAAATATTGTTCCAGAACTCTTGTCACGTATAGTGTTACCAACATTCCTTGCCAACTATTGTATAAGTAACTGTGTACATAAACAATGTTATTACTATATGGGATTTGGTTTAGTTATAAAATACTCAGCTGGCATTCAGGGTCATTGTATTATGCAATAAAGGCTTGTGCTTAAATCTGAAGGAGAAAACTGATTTCTGTATACATCTCCTGTCTGTCCTCTGTCTTTTGTCCTTTGTAAAAATTCTTGTAATATGTAATAACAGCAGGAAGTCCTTCAGATGATACAAAGACATTGAAAAGCTTATATTCTGTCTTTGCTGTGTTGTTTGAAGACCTTTTTTTGCTGTTATTGTCATCTTTGTTGTCATGATCATCATTGTCGTCTTCGTTGTTGAGGTGACTTATGTCTCCTTTTCGACTAAAACTATAAATCGAAATCTTAGATCAGAGCATCAAGATTATGTGGTACCATTAAGATAACAGCTATATGAACAAGCAAACTTTAGCCTTCATGAAGATATAATACAGTTAACAGATGAAAATATAAACTTATTTAGACAAGAGCTTTCATTGAAAGAGCTGTTACCATGTCATTTGCTGTTGAAATCTTCTGCTACATAACATTAAATATAATTACTACACACAGATGTGTAAATGTGAATACAATTGTTATTATTTGAACAACTGTGTAATATAACCTTGATACACCGAAGGGAGTAAAATATTATCACATATTTTCAGTATAAATGTATTTCTGAATATTATTGCACTTTGATATTCATCCATTTATTTATATATTTACGGGTTATTTAAAAAAGTTGCCAGTATCTTGGACTATATAGCACTGAATAATATGATGATTAGTGAATAATATATTAGAAGGAAAGTGGAGAAAACTTAATGTGGCCTAATTTGAGGTACCATCCTGGCATTTCTGTGGATTAACTGTGAAAAACCATGGAAGTCCTTAAGATAGTCAGTGTCCCAGCCAATTCCCAAACACAATTCAGAACCATTTTTGACTGAATGAACTTGTTTGTTCAAGTGACACAGAAGAGTACTGACTGCGTGAATGTGGATTCTGGTTATTATGAAAAGAGGTTCCATTAAAAGGCTTATCTATACAATCTGTCTTATGCTGTTTCTTGTGTTCACCAGACTCTTAGTGAGTTTATTACTTGCCAGTTTATTAATAAAGTAATCAAAATTACCCACTGAATGTAATTATCTTAACCTCATTTTATTTTTGTTTGAATGGCAGCAATTTCCAGATCTTGTTCCTTAGAGTATTTATGTGTATTTATTTATTTATTTATTTCGTCTCTATAGATCACTGTTGCATGATATAGGACAAGTCAGTTACTGTACATTGGCTGATTACAATAAGAGAATAAAGTTACAATACTTAAAATTGTTTACAATAGATTACAATAGTTAAGATTTCACATAGTGTGAGGTAGAATCCGTATTAGGTCCCCTCGGCACGTCGGCTTCCATACGTCCTATTGTACCTGTACTGGTGATAATGCTTATGGAGAATTTTATGGAATGAGGATTGGCAGGGGAAACCGAAGTACTCGGGGAAAACCTGCACCAGTGCCACTTTGTCCATCACAAATCCCACTTCACTAGACCGCAGGGGTGAGAAGCCAGTGACTAACCGCTTAAGCTATGGTGCAGCCTTTGAGATAATATTGGTGAATTTGGTGATAGCACTGCTATAACGTTTCACTGTAGACTCAACACTGCAACATCTCATTACATCTGTTCTCCCTTCCTGGTGCAGCTTCTTGGCATCTGCAATCTCACCAGAATAGCCCATTCAGGTATATAATTTATATAAGAAAATTTTAAATCTTCATGAATTTATATACATACCCCACCATTTTTTAACTTTCTTCTACAAAATTTTGCTGATCAGAAATACTGTAAAGGGTATCATTTTAATCAGATCACAATTTTGTTCCTCAAGCATGAATATATTTTTGAAACAATTTTCTGATATGTAACCAAGATATTGAAATATTTTTGTTGTAGGCTATAGGTGACTTAAGAACAATTTTTTATGAATTAATTTGCTGCGTAATAAGCACAATAGTAAGTTTCAACTGTGGCCGCAACATAGCTCAAGCGGTTAGTCGCTGGCTTCCCATCGCGGCGGCCCGGGTTCGATCCCTGGTCTGGTCAAGTGGGAATTGTGGACAGGTTTTCTCCGAGTATTTCGGTTTCCCCTGCCAATCTTCATTCCATCAAATGCTCCACAGTCAACCTTACCTATCATCTGGAGCTGGTACAATAGGCCAGAGGTGGCCGCAGTACAAGGAACTTAGTCCCACTCCACTAGTAAAATAAAAAAAAAGTTTCAACTGTGAGTTTCTAATATATCATTTCTATTGTGACGGCCGAAATTACCATTAGAACAACAGACCACAACAGCATTTGAATACCTGCTACGAACTCCACATTGTTTCTTTTCGGCGGGCTTTGTCCACGAGCGCCTATGAGCGCCCACTCGTCCGTAACTTTCTTTTAGGTAAATTTAGTCGCCCACGCCATACCTAATTCGTCATTGTTCACTTATTGCTAACTAAATAAACTTTTTGCTGGATAAATTTTTCCTTGAATTTTTAATTATTTCCAAATTGCAAAGCTGGTTAAACGATTTTGCAAAAGTATGACCATAAATAATAATTATTGGGGAATTTGATGTTGAAATATTTCCCGTTATGACATCGCCTAGGTTTGGAATTTATGTGCTGTCATGTTGTAGTAATTTGTTAGAGTAATCAGATGTACAAGTGTTTTAGTCAAAATCTCCTTTGTAGAACTAAAGTGTGCTGTTTTAAGCTGAATGTACAAATTTTCTGAGAGTAAGAACATACATTCTAATTGCTGGGAAATTTTATGGTCAAATATTTCCCGCCACGATAACGCCATACGTTTATGGTTCTGTTTTGAAAGATGTGTTGGAAAGTTCTAGTGAGTTGTTGGTACAGTGAGAAATATTCTGGTTAAAATCCCATGTTAAGGAGTAAGCATCAGTGTTTTAATATGTGTAAAAGTATTTTTAATGAGACAATGAAAGTTTGACCCTGCAGAGTAATTTTTTAAGTAATTATTTACTGATTTTATAACCACGATTATATTTTAAGTTAGGTCAGCCTTGATGTTTCAGGAAATTAGTATTTCACTAATATGTTATAAGACAGGAATAGTTATCAGATTTGAATTACATGAAATATTTTTCTCAAAAGTTGTTTTGAAAGAAAGTAGGAGAGAGAATGGCATTCAACGTATAATTAAATATGCAACATTTTCTGTTTACATTTTTGGAAAGATAGACTTACACACAGAAGAAATATTCTAGCATTTAAAGGTGCCATATCCGGTCGTTACATTTTTGGAAAGATAGACTTACACACAGAAGAAATATTCTAGCATTTAAAGGTGCCATATCCGGTCGTTACTAATTATCAGGGGCCTGAAAATATATTTAGCTTACAAAATACAATTAAAACAGAGTTTACTTTGGAAACATCTTTTAATAGCTTTTGTGACAGTTTGTACATAGAAGAAAATATGTAACCCATCGTAATATACACCAGGCTGAGAAAAAGATGTGGCCGTGCTCATATCTTTCAGCACATCCCTTCTTGTAGCTGGTTTGCTTCCTTCACTGGGTGTGTTATCTATGGTTCAGCTTTTGTTGCCCCTTCCCCTTACAAAGAATAGCATCATTACACTTCACATGAATGACATTTTAGGTTAGGCTAAGTTTTGTTGTGTTCTAGATTATTTCAAACCATAATATTGGAGTTGGTAATTTCATGATTGTAATTGGAATGCAAATGGAATGCTGATGAAGGTGGTACTACAGGTGATAGGTGGAAGAGAGAAGCAGCTCACCTCTTTCTCAATTTTTGTGCAGTAGAATACTTGACAGTAAATGGGAGTACAATGAGACAGTAAAATCAGCTATTCATAGACTTCAAGAAAGCCTATGATTCAGTTAGGAGGGAAATATTGTACAATATTCTGATAGAGTTTGGGATACCCATGAAACTAGTTAGGTTGATTAAAATGTTTTTAAATGAAACGTATAGTGAAGTCCATGTAGGTAAACATTTGTCTGATAAATTTCCTATCCAGAATGGTCTAAAACAAGGAAATGCTTTATCACCACTCCTTTTCAACTTTGCTTTAGAATATGCCATTGGGAAGGTACAGGGAAACCAGGTGGGACTGAAATTAAATGGGACACATCAGCTGTTGGCCTATGCCGATGATGTGGATCTACTGGGTGATAATGTAGATACCATAAAGAAAAACACACAGACTTTAATTCATGCAAGTAAAGAGGCTGGTCTAGAAGTAAACACAGAGAAAACTAAGTTTATGTTACTGTCTCATCACCAAAATGCAGGGCAAAATCATGACATAAAGATAGGAAACATATGTTTTGAAAATGTGTCACTGTTCAGATATTTGGGAACAACGATAACAGATTGAAACCTGATTCAGGAGGAAATTAAGAGGAGATTGAACTTGGGTAATGCTTGCTACCATTCAGTCCAGAACCCTTTGTCTTCTCATCTGCTGTCCAAAAACATAAATATTAGAATATACAAAACTATGATTTTGCCTGTGATTCTGTATGGGTGTGAAGCCTGGTCTCTGACATTAAGGGAGGAACATAGACTGAGGGTGTTTGAGAACAGGGTGTTGAGAATATTTGGACTGAAGAGAGATGAAGTGACAGGAGGTAGGAGGAAACTGCATAATGAGGAGCTTCATAACTTGTGCTCTTCTTCAAGTATAATTAGAATGACCAAGTGAAGGAGGACGAGGTGGGCAGGGCATGTAACACAAATGGGGAGAGACGAGGAATGCATATAGGATATTGGTTGGAAAGCCAGAAGGAAAGAAGCCACTAGGAAGACCAAGGCATAAGCGGGTTGACAGTATTAAAATGGATCTTAGAGGAATACGATGGGATGGTATGGATTGGACTGATCTGGCTAAGGATAGGGACAAGTGGAGGGCTCTTGTGAACATGGTAATGAACCTTCGGGTTCCATAAAATGCTGGGAAATTCTTGAGTAGCTGCAGAATTGGCGGCTTCTCAAGAAGGGATCAACTCCATGTGTAAGTAAGGATGCTTGATAGATGAGTGGTAAAATGTTTCAGCCTTGCTCATGTTGTAACATGTTCATACTCTTCTTGTGAATCTTTGTATAGCTTGTCTATAATGCTTTTGTTTCATTTAACTTTTAACAGCATCATGGATGAAATTGATGCAGTGCCATCAAATTCCAAGCATACAGAGTCTGCTGAGTTTGAAGCAAAGAATGGCATCTCCATGTTGCCTTGTTGCATCAAGAGTGACTTTAAATTTGAATCGCAGAACACCAAACAACTACATAAAATTATTTTTAATACTGGAGGGCATAAAAGAATCAGAGAGTTGGTTCTTACGCATTCTGATCTGCAGAATTTACCAAGTAGTTTTATCCTCAACTTGGGAAATCTTATTCACTTGAATCTTGAAGATAACAAGCTTAGTCAACTACCATTAATCATGAGGAAACTCTTGAAGTTACAGCACTTAAACATTTCTCATAATTGCTTCAAGGCTTTATCAGAGGACATTGGAAACCTGATCATGTTACAGACTTTAAGATTAGAGAATAATAGTCTTGTTGATTTGCCAGAAAATATATGCAATCTTATGAATCTCCGGGAACTGAGCATTGCTAACAACAGCCTCAAAACTTTACCGAATGGTATTGGAAAACTTGCGAAGTTAGAGCACTTGGATATTTCTGGGAATTTGCTAGAAGATTTGCCTAAATCTATGTTTCAGCTTACAAATCTATGCCACTTTAATGCTGCATCCAATAAATTATCATATCTGTCAGAAAGTTTCACTCATTTAAATAAACTCAGAACATTAAACCTTGCTCATAATGTAATGTATGAAGTACCATATTGCCTTTTCACTGGATTACCAAATGTCTCAGAGTTGGATTTGTCACATAATTATATCAGAAATTTTAGTGAGGCACCAAATTGTACCAGCAAGCTTAGAAGGCTGAAACTTGATTACAACAGCTTATTAACCTTACCTCAGTGGATCTTTAGAGACACATGTAAATGTCTGTTAAAACTGGACATTTCTTGCAACAAATATATGAATGGTATCAGCAATGAAATTTATTCTTCTGCAAGCAATTTAAAGATGCTTGATCTTTCTAACTGTGCGCTTTCAACTACAAGTGTTGTCTTTTTACATAGACTGAAAAGTTTGGAATATCTGAATATGGGAAATTATAAATACAGAACTGTTAAACACAAAATGTGTGCTGGTAATATATTCTGGGATCTACCAATTGGTGAGCTGAAGAAGAGCTGTCATCTCCAAGTTCTGATCCTCTGCAATGTAGGACTGGCTGCCATATCGGAAGATATTATCCAGTTGAAAGTGTTACAATACTTGGATCTCTCCTCAAATAAACTTCATTGGCTGCCTAATTCATTCTCTGATCTAGTAAATTTGAAGTCATGCCATCTATCGAACAACACTCTAGCAGTATTACCAGTGCAGCTAGGAAACTTGGAAGGACTGAAAGAGCTCAGCTTAGATGGCAATCAGGTATGTTCAAGGAACAGTTCTGTGTAGATATTTATATGTGGTGTTAGTTACATGGACTGTCTCTTCTGATGATGTTAGCTGGTCCACGTGGAGCACTCTTTTGCAGGCTGCTTCTTGAACGTGGACCTGGGACCATCTGAACCTGTTAACAAGACTCCTAGTTTACAGTCCACATTTGTGTCTATTTCTGTTGAGATGCCTCCTTATCTGAGTTACTACTCTGCCCCTGCTGACTGACACAGGGGTACATCCTGCTATGGGGACAATGGCAGTGAGTACTCCGCAGGCACGTTCCATGACAGCATTGGTATCAGGATGTTGTAGCAATGTGCATCGCCCAAAGGCTATAATTATATAGCCTCAGGACAGACTGGATAGAAAACATCATTCCCAACAGCTCGGTTATTGCATGATATGTGAGTGAGCCGTTGCTAGTGATGGCTTGTTTGTTTATAGAGCTCTTACCTAGTGATGGACGATTTTTCAGTCATCATGCTACAGTATACTTGGTCAGGCAAATAGGTTTCGAGACTCATTTTTAATTCTGCACTGGGTGATCTGGCAATGCTGTTACTTGGAATATTAGCTGATGCAACAGGACAGAGCTCATATGGACAGTCTGCACAAACTGTGTCCAGTATTGTTGAACAGTAGCTTGTTAGATCACCACATGTCATCAGCTTTGTCCAGACGTAAAAATTGAGTGTACAGTGGAACAGAGAATGAATGTGAATTTTTGTGTTAAAAAGGGTAAAACAGCTATCCCTGTAACAGGTCGTGAAGGCCCATAGGGTTGTGAGACATCAAGGCTCCCACATTTTCTGTAGACAGTCAGCTCACAGATGGCAGTAAGGTTGTCAGCCTTACATACCTGCCACCCTTAACCCCTCAGGAAGATTCCTGGAACTTATTTCTGTTAGAGGCTGAGTCGACCCCAGGGCCATAGTGTGGCTGGAAGGATCAGGTAAATTGAAAAAAAAAAAAAGTCCACCTCATTGGGAGTCGAAACTGCGACCTTCTGGCTTATAACATAGTGCCTGAACCAACTGTGCTACTGCGGTGTTAAACTGCAGAAATTACCAAGTGAAACGTTAGAGATGTTAAAATAACAGTTTATGATGAATCGCTAGGTCAAAAAAGCCACGGATTTCAAAGTCCAAGATCAAAATAATGTTGATCTGCTTTCTCAACAGCAGAGGTATCATCCACTTTGAATATTTACTTGAAGGTACCACTGTTAATTAGACATTCTACATAAAGGTGTTGAAAAGACTTATTGTTGTCATGAGGTGCAAGCAAGGTGATTTATGGAGAGATTGCTTGCTGATTCTTAATCACAATGCGTTTGCATATTCTTCACTTCCAGTGTTGCAGTTTTTAGCAGGAAAAGGCTCCTTTGCCATAGATCATCCACTGTACTCTCCAGACTTGGCACCAGCTGACTTCTCGCTGCTTCCAAAACTCAAGAGTGTGCTGAAAGGAAAGCATTTCTTGGATGTTAAGGACATCAGATCATCTGTGATAAAATTCTGACATACATTCCTGTTCAGGATTTTGAAAACTATTTTTACCAATGGCTGAATCACTGGGAACATTGTAAAGAATTGAAGGGATATTACTTTGAAAAAAAAATTTAGGTTGCTAATATTTGCAGCTCTTAAAATAAACTTTTAAAAAATTAGTCTCAAAACTCATTTTACCGGCATTGTGTCTGTGTAAGTGTGCATGTGTGTGTGTGTATCTTAATTTACTTTTGGCACCTTGTGCATAATAAAACATTCATGACCCTGTTTAGACAGGCTAGAAATGTACATTGTACCAGTTTCCATTAACTCTTCAGTAGCACAAGGATTATCTCGTATCTCCAATTACAGTGGTCTCCCATCCACAATACTGCCATTGTGCTGTCCTGAAAGTTCATCACATTTTCAGAATTTGCATGAATGGAGAACAGGAACTTGTTTGAAGAATGCCGTCTTCTGGGATGTGGTGCCGTGTAGATCTTGTGTGAAGTGACACTTCAGACGAACATATTGCCTCCATCTTCAGGGTAGAAAAACACTAAATGTCAGTTCACACAAGATCTACATGGTGCCACATCCCAGAAGATGGCATTCTTCATAGTCACCACTGTGAAAACCTAAAATCCTACAGGAACTTGTTTATGTTCTGTCTGTTTTATGTTAGTCTACATCAAATTCAGTTTATATATATATGAATATATTTTTAGCTTCATTCATTGCCAGAGAGCATGGCAAAACTTCAACACCTTGAACTTCTGGATCTATATGATAATACACTTGAAGAAGTGCCGGAAGTCCTGAGAAGTATGCCCAGTCTTAAATCACTGGATTTGGAATGGAATTGCTTTGATGTATTACAGTCTCTAAAGGATGATAACTTCTTGGATAGATACATTCAAATGAAATGTAGTATGCGGTCAAGACTGACAGGGTTCTTGTCTCCACGAATGGATTGTAAGAGGCCACCACTGGAGTGTGATAGTCCGTCATTGGGTTATGAGTTGTGTGTTTCTGCAGGTATGATTCTACAGACAGTGGTTTATTTATTCCATTGTAATTATTATGAACAATGACCATTGCCTGAGATGTATTTAACCCTTCAGCACTGGCCGATATACTCAGTATGATAGGTCTGCTAGCATATGGCACCTTCCCACATACCCAGCCACAAGGTCCGTCTCCTTTCCACACCTGGTTACATCATGTGTATGTAACTTTGCAGAAGAAAAGTTCTGTGTAAGTATGTTTGAATTTTGCACATGAATACCAGAAGTATGTTGACGGCAGACTCTGGTAACTTTCTAACAGTGACATAATTATGCCCCTGACCGATGATAGCTCACCCTCATTCTTGTATTGGATGTAGTATATTTATAGGCATGCCTTGCATGACTGGTTTTTAAGACGTTTCACAAATGTTTGTTACATGCTATAAGATAAGTCTGATCTTCCTATTTTGTTCTGTCACCAACTGATTGATGTCTCTATACTGTAGAAATATTTTGCAGTTGAATGTAACGTCAGAACTATGATTGAGTTTTCACGTATATGTTTATTGATGCATACAGTTGAGTTGAAGGAGAGGTAGTTTTTAATATTGTATGCTGTATATCAATAGATTCTGTTTTGTTCTGCCATCATCAAGCGTAACTCCTTTGCAATGATTGTTATGTCTCACACATGGCCTTTATTTTCAGTACAAAGAAATAACATTTATTATGAATCCTTGCTTCTATATACTGAATGTGAAGCTGCTCTTCAGGCCTAATGAACTGTGCAACTGGTTCCTGACTTGAAGGCCATTAGGCCACTAATAGTAGGAAGAAGTTGGCTGAGCATTCATAGCAAAAAGTGATGGACATGTGAGACTTGAGGTTCTTATGATGGTGATTTTAAAGATTTGGGCAACACATGTTATAGTCGGTGAAAATCCTATGAATTTGAGTGCCATTTGAGTGATGCTGGTGAACTGATGAAGAGCATTGATAGCAACAGAGTTTTTGTATGGGAATGCCTGTCAAATTATGGGGGACAAAGGGAGCATTTTACTAGTAACTTTAGGCTGCATTCTGCAGCAAAGGATACGAAAAGCATAAGATTTGAGTTTTTCATGGCAGTGACTATGAAGAATGCCATCTTCTGGGGTGTGGCACCTTGTAGATCTTGTGTGAACCGATGTTTTTGAGGAACAGCCACCTGCTTGCATTGGTTCCTTGCTCACAGATTTTTCTACCCTGAAGATGGAGGCGATACATTCCTCTGAAACGTCAGTTCACACAAGATCTACATGGCGCCACATCCCAGAAGATGGCATTCTTCGATATGAAAGGCATTTGTTACTGCCCTTCGCACATAATCAAACTTCATCGCGTTTTCTATGATTTTAGCATTTATCTTTTTTATGTTGCATATGTTTCAGATTATCCAAATTCAAGTAATTTTAGTGAAGAAATGGAAAGAGAAGATTTTTCTGGTTTAAGCCATTGTACTTCAGACATAAACAGAGAAGAGGAGGAAGAAAATTGGGACTTGTCAGATGACATCAATGACAGCTTTGATCCATCCTGTAAGACTGTCTGTTCTTTGCCCTAATATTGTTTTCACAAATTAAATAAGGATGTTGTAATGATCCATTTCCCACTGCCTTTGAGGTGTATGTAAAAGTCCAAATCATATTTTCAGAACCTCTCAGTCCTCACTTGAGGCTTTTGCTCTGACAGGAAATTTGGATGAACTCAGAGTAAAGTTATTACTTTAACTTCATGTATATTCATAACCATTTTTTTTAACCAGCATTATATCTTCAGATTTATATCACTTCAGTTATGGTAATTTTATTTTATGCTGGTGAATGTTCATGTAACTGTCTTCTCTGGATTATTGCTATAGTAGACCACCTCAATTTCAAGCTGTTAGTTTGTATTAATGTGTTATGGTTCCTTTTCAGTTTTACCTACATCTCAAAAGAAGAAAGTAAGGCATCAGCGTGCACTCATTGTGATGGGATCTCTCATCTCTTCTCCAGATAATTTCTGTCCTGCAGACGTTCATGTTCCTCCAGTGAAAACTTTGGGTAGGTCAAAACGTATCTCAGCCCTGTCATTTCAGGCAGTTGAGGGACAGTTTGATGACATATCCTGAAGTGAATAAAATTCTGTGATACCCAAAGTGGATATAAGTCATTTACTTGCCTTCAGGAAATTCTTATATCTTGAACGATTTATTTTTGCAACTGTTTCCTCCCCTCTCACCTTTATATTCCCACAGAAGTCTTGAAGGTTTCAAATGCCCCTAATTATAGCCATTGAAAAATTATCATCACATGATGTCATATGTCTAGTGAATGGGAGTTGAAAATGTTTCTATGACTGTGCTTCATGTCGTTTGAAAATTGTTTAACCGTAATTATGAAACGAAATTGAAATCAGGCTTGAATATGAAGCTTGAAATGCACTCAACTCTTGATTATCTGGGATAATGGTGGGGATGGAAATCACGATTAATCGAAAACCCGGTTAAGACAAATTTTATTAAAAGTAGTACTGTAATACTGTACCTTCATAATACTATAGGCCTACCTGTATTTAAATTTATTCAACCTCATTTTTATGTCATCTCATGGCCTATTTAATACTTTTTTTTACATTACGCTGAAGTATGAGTTAGTTATTTCAATCACGGTCTTCAACAACATCCAACACTTTTTATGAATATTCACACTTAACACTTAAAAAAATGTAATATTGTCGTTTACTTTTTCACGGCATTTTCCTTTTTCTGTAGAATACTTAAAACAACACGCTTCCTTTTACACCCTGACATTTTGCTAACACACTTGTAGATCGATACAAAGAAACTAACTGGGGCGGTATATCTGTCCTTGAAACTTTCCACAAATCATTGCATTCTTTCACCCCTACCCTAGAACATTGTGCTAGCATAACGGGACCAAAGAATGCAGAGCTCGGTTCACACTAGTGCGGAAATAGTGTTACAACTCACCATGTGAAACAAAAGTGAATGAATATTAAACAACATATAAGCCTCAAAAAAGCCTCAGTAGCCCCGGTTAAGCTGCAAACCGGTTAATCAGCCCCCGGATAATCGAGTTGACTGTAATTCATCTCTGTGAAGTTACTGGCCCTTCAAAGCACATAGTAGGACAGTATGGATTCACTTCTGTCACATTCTTTGCCATTTTACATAACAAAGATGAAATTTGATCTCTTGTTCTATGTTATGAAGGACCACTAACACAGAAAGAAATCCCCAGTGCTGAAAATAAACATTGGATTCCACATTTTGAAGTGACTGTGAAGAAAGATTAGCTGACATACCAGTTGATGGACCACATGATCGATTGTTAGAGCCTTGACTGTCTATCGGTGCAGAAAAGGTAACGCTAAGCAATAAGATGCTGATAGCAATCTCGTTCACTTGATTCTCAGCCAGCATGGATTGAAGCTTTGAAAATTTAGTGTAACTTCCATATTCAGTGAGAAACTTCTGTCTGGAGACAGCAGAATGAAGACATTTCTGGCCACATGTAGGTGCAGTTGATATGAAACCAAATCAGATGTGGGAAGCAGCATTTTAAATGAATGTTTGGCTAATTTCACCAGAAAAGTATGCAAGCCTAGCCAATGATATCACAGGAAGTGATCTTACTAATTTTATTTTAGTGTTTTATTAATTTTTACTTTGGGTACTTCTCTGGTTATTCAGTAAATCTGAGAAAGATCAGAATTAGAGGTGCAGGGTATAAGGACCTGAAAGTATTCCTACTAAAACCCTTCAGTGCTTATAGCTGACATTCCAGTCTCAGTAATAAGTTCTCCACCCAGCTACATGAGGTTTGTGTAACACTTGTTATAACTTGGCTTCTGGCAGACACATTTAGGGAGAACAAGCCACAGTGCCACACATGTTTCATAACGGAACACAACCGCTCCCAAAGCACAGTGAAGAGCAAGAAAGGTATTAGGCATCATAATGGTAATGGCAGTGTCTTTCCCAGGCACCCCACAGAAACCATTAAAACTTCTTTTCATCAGCATCCGTTTTGCTGAGGGTTAACCATGCCACCATGATTTTCTTATGCAGTTCTGTCTTAACAGGGCACAACGAATACTGTCAGTTGGTTGAAGCCAAGTATTACAATAGTATCACTGAACAATAAAGTATTTTTTATTATAGTGCCAGTAGCACCTACACTGTCTGTTACTGTCAGTTAGTGGCACACCATTCATTATGATAGCAACTACTGCTATGTATTGTGTGTTCCAGAAGGGGCATTAATATGCAGAAGTGTCAATTGACAGCTGCATTTAGAAACAGCCCACAACATAGCTTACATATTAGTCAAAATGGTTGGTTGTAAGTACAAAATGTTATGTGAGAAAATATTGATATCTGCTATTCATATAATGCAAAAGACATTGAGAATGTTGATTTATTGCTCATTATTTTATTTTCTCTGTGATAACCACTTCAAATAAGTTGTGAAACATAGGACTTGAAGTTCTTACAGCAGTGATTGTGAAGAGTTATATCTTCTGAGATACATGACATGGAGTCTGTTGAAAGTTAATGAAGTTATGAAATATATGCAAAGTTAATAGTTTTTTTTTTTTTTTGCTACTTATGTCCCTTTTATATCCCATTGTACAAAATAAAGTTATGTTATAGGCTTTTGAAATTGTCATGTATTTGTGTGCACTCCATATTATGCTTTTTAATTTCCTGCAGTTGGTAGTAACAGTATGATGAATGCAGAAACTTGCGTGATGGGAGAAGCATTAACATCTCTTTATCTAGGTTCTTGAAATTAAGTACAGTAATAGATCTTCACAAAGATATTCAGCTTTGTTTATTTACACCAAACACATGACTAGTTTCATAAGTTATATATTCATTTGATTTCTTGTTTGCATGTAATTGTCAAGAAATATTTGTGACTCTATATGTTATATACATGAACATGAGAACATGTATTTAGTTTCACTGGGAATTTTTTATTGAAAATTAAATGTGTTCATTATATTTATGTTAGTAAATGAAATGAATAACAATTATTAGTATTTTGATAATATTACTTTCCCTGGTACAGCATATCTTAATGATTTTATAACACAGTCTCACCTTATTCAACTGGCTGTTGTTCAGCGTTGAAGACATTTGTTAGATTACATCAGTAGATTCTGGCAGTTTTAGCATTTTTATCGATGGTTTGAAGTCTTTGTCAACAAACCATTAATTTTTCTTTCAAAATACATTGTGAAGTGCAGCTAGAATTGTTATATTTTTCATTTGTCTCATTTTGTTGTTTAGCAGAATCATGAGAAATTTAAGTTTAGACCATTTTACTATATCCTGCAACACTAAAATATGTGGTATCTTCAAAAAGTTGTAGGGCTGCAGCCATATTTTGAATCTAGTGACGCTAAGAAGTCATTGGATACATTTGCCTGAAAAAACAGTCCCTTATCAGCTACACATTTCTCCCAATGTTTGTCCAGTTGTACACAACATTTCTGGAAGCTGCCATGCCTTGCCTTCTGCAGCATAGTCTTCAAAGCCATCTGAATTTCGCCGTCTTGAAGTGACAGCCATTAAGCCAGTTCATCATCCACAGAATGAGATAAAAATTGCATGTGGTGAGATCACTAGAATATAGTGGGTGAAGGAATATCAAAGTACTGTACTCTGTGAGTTTCTGTTGCACAAACAGTGATCGATGTACAGAGGCATTTTTATGCAGGAAGTGTCCATCTTTGATCCCACGCATACTGGAACATTCCTGGTGAATTGCCTCTCATAGGTGACAAGCACCTTTGCTCCTCCTTTTTGAACATAGCACCCTGTAGAAGAAATTGATGGTGCATAATGCTCTACAAGGCAGAAAAAAGGCCCCCAACATCATTTTGCTTCTTAAAAGTTCTTGCCAGAACTTAATGCTTCTTGGAGATGATGGAACTTCCGTAACTGAACAACTGCAACCATTTTGTTTGGTACCAGCCAGGCTGTGCAGGGTCCCAAAGGTACATATGGAAGTGGTCTCCTTGAGCCCACCATCATAATGATTGGGCTCCAACCTACAGACTTATAAGACATATAATGGGCCTTTTGGGACGACATCTGGTTAACTTTCTGCACGATGTAAAGAATTCTGATCATTTCATCCTCTCGGCACTCTGGATATCTGAGATATCTGAAGATATTCACATTAGCTTTGATGTTATTTCTGTCTTTTACCAAAGTCCTGATTGGAGATACACTGAAGTATCTGGATCAACAGAGGAAGATGTCAGATTCCTGCACCATGTCATGACATCATATTTCTCTATCAGGTCTATGAACAAACAAGAAGTTCTGGGAAGATCTATTTGCCTACTTTCTCTTAACTGTATTTTAGTACCTGATACTACAAGTAGAAACAGAACTTTTGTATGTATGCATAATGAAGTCAATGAAACAATACAGTTTGGGAGACTGCAGTGTTGCTGTTATTGATAGGACTGATTTATCAGGTATATCATTGAGGTGGTTTCAGGTGGCATGATATATTGTACATACCAAGTTTCATGAAGATTCTTACAGCTGTTGAAGGAATATTAAGTGTTTGCTTTAGCAGCTTGAAAGGCTATAATGTTGGTGTTACTAAAGGAAGGGATTTATGAAATGGGCTCTGGTGGCATGATATGCCAAGTTCTATGACAATCTGTTCAGGCATTTAGGTAACATTACAGTTATTACCACAACAATTTCAGAGGCTGTAATGTTGGTACTACTGATTCAAGGGACTTGTGGAGTATGTTATTGAGGTGGTTTCGTGTGGCATGATATACATACCAAGTTTCATAAAGATTGTTATGGGCGTTCAAGCAATATTAAGGTTTTGCCTCAGAAATTTGGGGGCTGTAATGTTGGTATTACTTGTGGGAGGGGTTTATGAATTATGCTGTTGAGATGGGGTCAGGTGCCATGTTTATACACAACCAAGTTTCATAGTGATTGGTTTAGGCATTACAAACTTAATGGGGGCAAGGTGATCTCATAAGCCTACTTGTATTTCTTTCAAAATAAGTAAAGTAGGCTAAAAATATAATTACAGTCCAGCATACAGTATAACATTGACTCAGTTATAATTTCATTCCTTTTTTTAAACTAGAATTCTGTTGAACATTGAGGAGAGAACAAGAAGCTTAACACTTGTCTGAATGAATTTTACACTGCTTTCCACAAAATTTAGAATTTAAGAATCCGTATAATAATATATTTTTATTTGTTCTAGGTATTCTAAATGCAAAGCAGTAATATATCATTTAAAATAATTATTAACTAGAAAAAATGCACACATTGCATTACTTAAGGCTTACTTCTATTCATCAATGCTGACTGCATTATAAGCTGCAAAACAGCTTTTATCAAAAGTGCAGCAGCACACAACAGGCACAATCCTAACACTGTCATGTGCACTGCCTCACATCCACTATTACGATATTAAAATTCTGTAGCGTATAGACAAGTTGGTAAGTAATGACTCTGTAAACAATGGCAGTTGCTAGGTAACGACCATAAACAGCAACCCCACGAGTTTACTTATTTGTGAGACAGTCACCAACCGGTAAGGAAGTGAACAAGGAAGCTGAGGAAGCTACAGTATTGGAAGCCATTACCAAGTGACAATCAGTGAATATACAGAAGACTGAGAAAACTTTGTACATGTTGTAGTGAACTGAAGAGTGCAAATTATTGATAGCAGTTACTTGCAATTATGAGTTGTATGTATAAGTGTTCAATAAATCCAAATCCAATCTGTAGTCACACTCTGTCATGTGACAACTGTTGTTAGGAGTGAGATTAGATTAATTGACTGAACGATTGCATTGAATTGTGCACTCTCTGATTTGAACCAAGGAGATGGATATTTATGGCATATTTTGAATGTCTGGTAGCCGCCATAAGAAGGCTGGAAGCCATGAAGTGGAACAACCAAGAAAAGATGGAGGCCATTAATGAGAAGTTTGAGGTCCTTCAGAGTACTCCTGTTTCCTGGATGGATATCCACTGAGCCAGGACAGAGCCCACTCCAGAAGGAATTAAAGCCAAGATGGACATACAACAAGGGAAAATGGAGGCCGCAGTATACCCCATCCAATCTGAGTTATAGGAGACCATAAAATTTTGGGTGGAAGATGTCCTGTTGTGTGTTGTCCAAAAGACGAGGCCCTCTGCAGGGAACTTGATGACAAGATTGATGAAACACAGGGGACCTACAGGCAGTACAGACATCCCTTGATATGCCAGTGAAGAGCCCCCAGAAAAACCTAGCACATACAAGGAAGGACTTTCATGAAGAGCTGTGCCTCATGTTCCAAGTGAAGGCGCATACAACGAAGGCCCTAATTTCATACCAGCACATACGTATACATACTGCAAAGAAAACTATAAATTTTGGGGAAAAAAAGCAGAGACACACATGAGTGATACACAAGAGTGGCACACCTCAGGGAAACATTGGTGTTCTCTGTTCTGTACCATGAAGTATTTAGATGTTTGTCGGCTGCTTCTTTATAAATGTATGCACCTTTCCCATCTAAATATGGAGTAACTTGTTAAATGATAACATTTTGGTCTACATTATGATTTCATTAGTAGATATTTGTGAAAACAAAGAGTAATTTAGCGTGATTCTGAATTTTATGCTTTATATTTTAACTTTTATAGTTATTTCGTACTGCCCTAGCTGTTCTGGATCACAACTCAAGGCTATTAGTAATTTGAGTTATGTAACTGATAAGTGACATCTGGCTTCATAGTTATCAAAGTGTGATGATATAAATAGGCATAACCATGCTATAAACAAGGAGATAAAGTAACAAATGATACAGGATTTTTTGTTTGTAGAAGAAAAACAAAACTAACTACATTACAGTTTCTTATGTTCAAATGGCAGCCCATAAGGAAATTTTAATAAATAGAGTTAAGTGCGTCCGTTCCATTGATAGTTGCTGCAAAGCCATTTGTAGACATCACATCAGGCACATGAATATATCGTCATCATCATTATTAACGGCAAAACAGCCCTTTTTGAGCCATAGTCTTCCTTAGAAGATGCTACCAGATTTGTAGACCATCGGTTTCCGTGACCTTATCGGGACTCGAACTTGTACTTCTCGACCGTTCAGACCGTAACCAGTCGTAATGTCTACGGCACAGTCGGAACAATCTTGCAATGAAATTTATTTATTTCTTTAACGTCGAGGTAACAATACCGTCAATACTTAACGCTAAAGTTACGTGGTTGCGGTGTAAATGATAGGATTTGCGAATTGTGAACAGGCAAGCTGTAGTGGTCGCAAGACGCTGCTTTTTTCGTATAGGGTCTCGCTAGTATACCTTGCCCCACGTTTCATACGCTGCCTCGGCCTGACAACTAATAATCCGAAGCAAATGTTTGTTGCAATTTTTTCAGGGGACGTTTGAATGACAAACGAATAAAAGTTGTTGAGCAACTAATTGTGGCAACGTCAGAGATATGTATCCATATGATGCTTACGGCAGGCGAGCGATTCGGCAACGTTCCCAGTTGTGACCAAGGACGGTAAACAAAACGATCTTTACAGACGTTTAGTTAGGCATACTAGGACTGGTAAGCCAAAAGTACAAGGCCAGTAAAGGTTCTGAAGCTGTTAGTAGCGACTGTAATATTTGTCTGTTCATAACCTCTACCCGCTCTACCCTAACATGGCAGTCGTATCTAGTGTATCAAAATTGTTTCTTGGACGAGTACAGGGATTATCTAGATTGTCAGCCAGCCTGAAATATGCTAGCACCAGTACAGGTAAATTTGCTAATAGTAATTTCAATTTAATAAATACCAGCTGGTCTGTGAAATCGAAAGCCCATGTCGTATGAATCTGCGTTAACGTGAAGCATGAATGCGCAGTAATTGCAGGAATGATAAGAAAGTTATATTTATGCTACACTCTTTGCAGTCAGAACAGTGACAGTGGGTGCCTTTTGTTATTTTATGGCAAGGAAATCTGCGACAAACTGCCTGAGGCGTTATTACCAATTTAAAGTTTAAAATGGACTGTTGGGCCGAATGGAGAATGTGTTGACCAGAGCAAGTAGTTATGTAACTACTTGTGTCTGGCGCAGCATTATCTAAACCTGTATTCTGCCTTTGTAAATTACTCACAGAACCCCAAACCGGAACTAAAAACATTAACAGTTCTCTGCAGTTTGTGTCCAGCATATAAAACAAAGGTGACTGAAATGGAGTCTGCTGTAGACAGGGTTTTTTTTTGGGTTTCCTTATCACAAGGTTTCTAAATATCAGGAGTCCTGCTTAAGAGTGCTGAATTTCCATGCAGCTTCATGTATTTTGCTTCTCTTTTTTATGACACTGTATTGAGCCTGTATAGGTCAATCAGTAAAATGGACCCAACTTGTGCATGCAGGGGCCGTGGAATTTCATGTAATATGTAGATTAATATGTACAGTTAATGCACTAGTAGATTCTAAAGGGTTCTGACAGTGGTGTATAACACTTAGAGTTACTGGGTTTTCTGGCTTTGTCCGTTTTCCAGTATTCTAAAAACAAGAACACAACATTTCAGAAACTGGATCTCTTTCTGTCCTCAGGTGAGGAGGGAGATACCTGCTCCGTTGAGCCCCTTAGAAAGAGCTAACCTCAATCACTGGTCCATCGGGATACATATTTGAAACAGATCCTGAGCTCTTATTAATGGATCTGTGCATGTCATGCTGTTAATCAGAGTCCCAAGTTCCTTTACAACTGGTGGTTTACCACCAATCAGTTTGTCTTGGTGACAAGCCCCCTGATACTCATGATTAGATTTTATTTTTTTCCAGTTGAATACTTGCGGTCATAGTCCTTATGTGGCATCCTCTCTGACAAGAGGCTGGGTGTCATATGCAATTGTTGCTGGTCCTCGCCAGCATAGTGATTCTCAGGTCTGAGTCCCACGAGACTCATGACCACATTTTGCTGTCTCAAATTCAAGACTCCCCCCATCCTCGTATTTATATCCCCCAGGAACAAGGTGGCCTGGTAATAGCTCCAGGCACTGGGTTCCCTTTCCATTGCCTCCTGTGACTTACGTGGTGGAGGTATTGGACCCAGTCTTATGTTCATTGAAACTGAACATTGAATGAAGGGGGACCTTAAGTTAAACAAATATGGAGCTACACTGTGTGTGCTTGACTGCGTGTTGAATTGAATTGAATTGAATTTATTTACATTCTATAAATCCTAAGCAGGTTAGTACCTTTGGATACAGAACAAGTCAAAATGTTACATACATAAGTGCAGGCAATTTTAGCTTAAAAATTAATATAACTTAATTTTACATCATTCTCTATTTACATTGAAGTATTCATCTAAAGAGTAGAAGGAATGAGCATGTAGATAATTCTTTAACTCTGATTTAAACTTTTTAGTATCATTGCCCAAGTTTTTAATACTTTGTGGCAGATTGTTGAACACTTTTATGCCAGTAAAGTAGACTCCTTTTTGATATACTGATAAAGTTGATGAGGGTAGGTGGAAGTTATATTTTTGTCTAGTATTCATGTTATAGACATCAGAATTTAATTTGAATTTATCTTTGTTGTAAACAACAAATAAGAGAAGCGATAATATGTATTGCGATTGAAGAGGTAGAATTTTTAATTTCTTAAATAATTCTCTACATGAATCTCTACTTCTACATCCTGTAATGATTCTAATTATATTCTTTTGTATTTTAAAAATTATTACACTATGTGAAGAGTTCCCCCAAAATATTAATCCATAGTTCATAATAGAATGAAAGTAGGCATGGTAAACCATCTTCAATGTTTCCTGTGACATAAAAGGCTTAATTGATCTCATCGCATAGCAAGCTGCATTTAATTTAGGTATAATTTGTTCAATATGTATTTTCCAAGACAGTGTACTGTCTACATGTATTCCAAGGAATTTTGTATCAAGTACTTTACAGATTAATTTGTTGGCATAACTGATGTCCAGATCAATTTGGTGGTTGTTTTTAGTTGTGAATGATATGTAATGGGTTTTATCAAAATTTAATGAGAGTAAATTGGCTTCGAACCATCTGTTTAAGGCTTCAAATACAATATTTATGTCATTTTTAAAGTTTTCAAATTTAGAGTTCTTAAATATTATACTAGTGTCATCTGCATATAGAATTGGTTTAGATTTATTGTTGATGGTTTTAGATAGATCATTTATGTAGAGAAGAAAAAGTAAGGGACCTAAAATTGATCCTTGTGGAACACCGTGCTTTATAATTCCCCAGTTTGAAAATGCATTATGACTGGAGTTTTTATTATTTATTTCAACTCTTTGATACCTGTTTTTGAGGTATGATTTGATCCATTCATTAGCTTTGCCAGTTATTCCATAGAAATTTAATTTCGATAGTAAGATATCATGATTAACACAATCGAAAGCTTTTGCTAGATCACAGAAAATCCCTCCCACAATTAATCTGTCATTGAGAGCACTTAAAATATCGTTAGTTAGTTCATAGGTTGCTTTTTCTGTTGTTAGGTCTTTCCTAAATCCAAATTGCTCTTTGACTAATATGTGTGTGCATGCGCTCGCGCACATGTGCAAGGGTAACTCAAAGTCCTATAGCCAAGCTTTAGGACTTTTAGAGGGAATAATTTGGAGCAGAAAATGTAAATAAATTATTGTTTGTTTCATCATCCTTGTTGTGTTATGATGGTTCACCACTTTTTAAAAAATGAAATAATTGCCTGTTCATGTATCCATTTGATTATTTACCTTGAATTTCTGTATTTCTTTCAATTACAGTGAATGAAATTAATGTTTCTGAAAAAGTTAATTCTTTTCAGTTTGAATTTTACATCATGTTTAACACAAACTCTAGCCATCCACCCCACTGGCAAACTGTCAGTATGAAAGCTTTATGAGTAGCTCCAAATGCATGTTCATGTAGTGGGGAATAACCCACATTTCATTGTGCGTGTTCACAAGAACTGCCTGAAGTCTTCTCCATATGCTTCACATTGATACTGAATGGGCCCCTATTGCCTGTTACAGCTCCATAAGAAAAAATTAAATGGGTTTTGATCAGGAGAATGTAGAAGCCAGATGATCAGGTCTCTCACATGAATTCATATGTCTAGAAATTGTTTGTTTGGCTAGTTATGCACTTGGTGTGAAAAATGGGGAGGGATGCTCTTGAGCTGAAGCACATGTTCTTATGAAGAATAAGGGGTACATCCTCCAGCAAAATGGAGTTGTTCCTTCAAGGAACTGAGCATACTGAATTCCATTTAGGCAGTTTGTTATTACATGTATACGAGGGGGTACCCAAAAGAAACCGAACTTATTTTTTTTTAAACTTATTTGTTCAAATTTTAAGCACAAACCTTCAATCCCCTTCAAAGTACTCTCCACTTACACTAATACACTTGTCTAGTCTTTTATTCCATTTTTCAAAACATTGTCTAAATTCATCTTTTGAGATGCTTGACAGCGCCTCCGTCGTTTTTTTCCTTCACCTCAGCAACTTCAGCAAAACGCTGAAAAAAAGTTTTGATCATTTCGGGACTCTTCTTTCAAAGCACAGCATGCTTCCACGTGACCTTGTTTTTGTTCAGCAGTCGTGGCACGAATTTCGCAGCCACCCTTTTCATTCCCAAATCTTCTGTCAAAATTCGCTGAACTGAGCTCCAAGTCACTCCCAACAGCTCCACAATTTCTTCAATGGTCCGTCGTCGATCTTCCTTGATGATATCACGAATTTTTTCAACATTTTCATGTGTTCGGGCCATTGCAAAAACGACGATGTCACAAAACAGTTGTCACTATAAACTCTGCCGAAACTAGTCCTTACCTTCTGAAGCAACGGTAGTCGGCTTATCGACTCAGGAATGTTAGCTCTATGCGCTCATAGCAGCAAAACGCGGTACTACAAAAGCTCTGCCCACAAAAAATTAGTTTGGTTTCTTTTGGGTACCCCATCGTATATGGTCCAGTTAGGTAACTGCCTATGATTCCTGCCCAAATGTTGACAGAATTTTTATTGAAGTGAAGAGTGCTTAGTAACGTGACGATTCGCCAGTGCCCATTAATGTAGGTTGTGTAGATTCTTTATTCCACTCCTTTTGAAAATTGCTGCACCAGGCCACAATATGTACTTGGCACAGAAAGGCAGGTTCATCTACAGTTTTGTGTAGGGGCTATCAACACAACTTCTTCACCTTATCCCAGTACAGCATTTCAGACTACATTTATGAATTAAATATCACATGTACTCCAGTTCCCTATGAAGGTGTTACTTAGCCCCCCCGTACATCTATTAGGCTGTGATCACTTTCTTCCAAATACTGCCCAGTTCATTGTTCATAAGTAATCCTACCATATGGTGCCATATAATCAGGATTGTAACTTACCCTTGGATCTGAGCCCTTCTTGAGGAGCCGCCAAATCTGCAGTTACTCAAGAATTTCCCAGCGTTTTATGGAACTTGAAGGTTCGTTACCATTTTCACAAGAGCCCTCCACTGGTCCCTGTCCTGAGCCAGAGTAATCCAGTTCATACCATTCCATCCTGTTTCTCTAAGATTCATTTTAATATTGAAGAAAGCAGTCTTCTGGGATGTGGCACCTTGTAGATATTGTGTTAACCGACGTTTCGGAGGAATATATCGCTTCCAGCTTCAGGGTAGAAGAGAAAAGAAGAAAATCCACAAGGAAGGAACCAGCATAAGCAGGTGCTACTCTGTTAAAACCCTGAAGATGGTGGAGATATGTTCTTCCGAGACGTCAGTTAACACAATATCTACACGGCGCCACATCCCAGAAGACTGCTCTCTTCATAGCCAGTGCCATGAAAACCTCAAATCTTCAGTTTAATATTGTCCACCTACCTACACCTAGTCTTCCAAGTGGTCTCTTTTCTTTTGGCTTTCCCACCAATATCCTATATGCATACCTCTTCCTCCACGTTCATGCTACATGCCCTGCCCATCTCATCCTCCTTGACTTGATCATTCTAATTACAATTGGAGAAGAGTACTCAGGATGCTAACAGCACAGTGCAATTACCTGCAGCCCAACCCTATAATGTTCAACATATACAGGGTGTAGCTTAATGCTGTGTCTTTGTTGAACAGGATCCAGTTATGAGTTTATCGTCACGGAGACAAAGGGAGACAAGAAGAATGTTGGACTTATTACACTAAACAGGCCCAAAGCTTTAAATGCACTGTGTAATGACTTGATGAAGGAAGTCAGTGATGCAGTGGAAAAGTTTGAAAATGATAGTAGTATTGGTGTTCTTGTCATCACTGGAAGTGAAAAAGCATTTGCTGCAGGTAAACAACCAAATGGGATTGTACACAGATTGCATTTGAACTTTCATCTTAAGATATTATATAATATTTGCAGACCTAGTATCTGTGATAGAAAGAAACCTTATGTCACACGTTCATGTAGCACGACTTTTTGGGATCAGAATGTTTTAAGTGCAGATGGAAATACTTTTTTAATTCATCCATCTTGAGATTGCAGTCCTATACAGAAGCATGTTCTTTTCTATTTGGTCATTTGTTCTCCAGTAAATTACAAATATTTAGTGTCCTTGTTACATGTTACAGTGTTTATTTTGCCACTTAACATATGTTACTTGTACATATCTGTTTTCTCTTTATTTCTGATGATAGCAACATTTTGCTTCCTGATTTCATTGAACAGCATCTTTCTTGAGAAGCTGATAGTTGTTGAGTTGGCAAAGAAATCCTCTGCCTTTTATTGAAGCCAAAAGTTCATTACCCTGTTCACAAGAGCTTGCCGCTGGGCCCCATTCTGGGCCAGCTGGTTACAGTCCACTCTCACAACATTTTCCTGTATGATTGGCCCTTAATATTTTCCTGCTACTTATCCATAGGTCTCCAGAGTGATTTCTTCTCGTCACATTATTTATAATTTTGTATACATTTCTCATATCCACCATACATGCTGTATGTCTTGTACATATGTTCATCATAATACTGTATAGTTTAGACTAAATAATGAAGCTCTACATTATGGCAATTTTCTCCATTTCATTTATTCCTGTCTCTTAGGTCTAGATATATGTATGACTACTTTATACATAAGATGAGAAATCATACATTGCACTAGTGTAAAACAGTAGGTGAAATTATTTTAATCTTCAGTTAATTTAGGCAGATAGCAGGAACTTTATCAGTCATATCTGTCTCTAGCAGTCTAAAACTGTTCACAAACTCTCTATTTTTTTTAAATGACAATAAAATTACATCAGTTGCTACATGTTTCAGCCCTGCTTGGCCATCTTCAAGCAATTGTTCACTTATTGAAACTGTTGCACTGCACTAGATCATAAGTCGATGTATTCAATGCTATTGCACGTTGTTGTTGACACTAAAATGTGTTTGTTTGAGAATAAAAACTCTCTTCATTCCGCGTTATTTCCATTTTGCGGTGTACATGTTTGCGCCCAACTAGTGAGAACAAAGATATGAAGGAGGCACAAGCATGGATTCATATGTCTCTTGAATAGAAGAGACATACACCCAACTAGTGAGAACAAACATATGAAGGGGCCAGGGCGCATGGGGCCTGGAGGTAGCTAAACACGTACTTCGATCTAGTGCCAAGATTAAGAATGGCGAAGCTATACCTGCATTCCCTCGTATGCCTTCATGTCATTCTTCTTAGTCGCATAATCAAGCAAAAGGATACTGTTACCTACTTCTACGGTTACAATGCAAAGTGCTTTTGTTATTTTGTTTTATTAAAAAATGTGTATATGTGATAGTGGAGGTGAAAAACTTTGTTGTTCGTTGCATCATAGCAGGAATTTGTTCCAGTGGGAATATGGACACAAATAGGAACACTTAGATCCATAATTTTTTCCCAGTTATTAATCTGTGCCAGTGTTTTTCTGTGGATGGAAGCATTTGAATGAAAGTAGGCAATGTTAGTTCTTTCCCGAACATCTTGTAAATGTTATATGTTTTATGTTCTAGGAGCCGACATTAAGGAAATGCAGCATAATACTTATGCACAGAATGTAAGAGGAAACTTTCTGAGCCACTGGAACCGAGTTGCTTCTTGCAGGAAACCTGTAATAGCAGCAGTCAATGGTTATGCTGTCAGTAATTTTCTTGGCTTAATTTATGATTTAATAATTATATACTGTCTAATTCAATGTGCCTGTTGTTGTCCATTGTATGGACTGACAAAATGGAATCAGGTTTGGCAAAGGGATTGTACTTTGTAACTAACCATTATCACAGTAAGTTATTAAAATAATGCATGGCAGATTCAGTAATAATGGGATAGTTGAAACAGAAAAGAAAACATGTTGAGTAAAGTAAAATCATGTCACTTTGGTTCAAGCAGGCCTGATCATTAAATTCTACAATCAATCATAGCATCCTTTTACACAAAGCCAATGATGTTGGTGACAGATGAAAGGAAGAGAAGCGTTTGGAGTGACTGTTGTCACAAACTGTTGTTTGGCTGATGATGTTGAAGGAAAGGCACAGCATTGTTAATGAAAGAAGTCCGTAGGGAGGAACTTTCCTTCTCCTCTCCTCCACAGAGATTGGGTGTTTTGAGTGTGTTCCAAAGCTCAGAAACTATGGACCGCACCATAGCTTAGGCAGTTAGTCACTGGCTTCCCACTGCAGCGGCCTGGGTTCAAGCCCGGGCCTGGTCATGTGGGATTTGTGTTGGACAAAGTGGCAATTTTCTCCACAATCATCATTATCTATCATCTGGAGCTGATAAAAAAGGCCAGTATTGGCCACAGTACCAAGTGGACTCGGTGTCACCCCAGTAAGAATAATAATAAAAAAAACAGAAAGGTCAGAAACTGAACTTGTTTTGATATTCACTCTTTATTCCTTATTAGAAAAATGGAGTTGAAATGTATGACTGCAAAGCATGGTTTCATTTTCAGCTGGGAGGTGGGTGTGAGTTGGCCATGATGTGTGACATCATTTATGCGGGAGATAAAGCTAAGTTTGGACAACCAGAGATAGCAATAGGGACGATCCCAGGTGCAGGTGGCACCCAGCGGTTGCCAAGGTACGTTGGCAAGTCCAAAGCTATGGAGATAGCTCTCACAGGCGTTCCAATAACAGCTCAGGAGGCAGAGAAAGCAGGTGAGTGTCATATACACACATTTAATGGGCATGGAAAGTTTTGATTCAGAAGTACAGTGGATTCCATATTTGATATGTATGATTTGGAAATCACAGCATACCTATGATTATCTGCTCACATATTCTTTGGTTATAGTCTTATCTATATGCTCCTCACAGTTGCACTTCCACCATGTTGGCCATTTATTGAGTTCGCTCAGTCTGTCCGCCTCTTTGTACGCATGAAGAAATTTGAGAACTAATGGGCAGATTTCCACTGAGTTTGATATTTTGAATTTTATGAAAAATTGTTGAACCATTTTAGGTTTCATCTATATCTAACAGTTTTAACAACTACATGAAAACCTATGTGCCATTCTCACATATCTCAGATGTAACTCACCAAATATTTATTGGCGCAAAAAGCATTTCAACCAAAAGTTGTAAAGGAGAGTGAACTGCATGTATACTATTTTCATAAGTCTTATGGTTTTTGAGGTAATTAAGCAAATTGAATGTTACACATACATTTATGAATTTTTGTATTTAGCATTTGCTGTGGTCTCCAGATCACACTGAAGAGTAGCACTGGATTATCCACTTTCTTTCTGTTATTCAAGTTTCTTTCCCCTTTCATTACCATGGATAATTGGGAGTATACTGTATTTCGGTAAGATGGGCTGTATACCATTATTGAGAAGGTTCATTAAGATTTCCATTGCTTGTATTATTTTTATGCAGGGTTGGTGAGTAAAGTGTTTCCTGCTGATCAGCTTGTGTCAGAAGCTGTGAAACTGGGTGAAAAAATCTCATCACATTCCCAGCTGATTGTTGCTCTTTGCAAGGAATCAGTTAATACAGGTATATGAATTTTATTTGCTAGCTAATTGAATTTTGTGATTTATGAAATTATAAGATTTTATGAATTATTGATACATATTTTAATATATTTAATTACTGTAGCCTGGATATATTTATATGTATTGTTTTGTATTTTACATGGTAAGACCAGTAGCAATGGATCCATTGTGCAAGAAGTTCAGTTACAAACAGTAACACATACTGTACTTCTTTTGGCTTATTTTGGACTTCACCCATCGTCCGGTATATAAAAAGACAAAAAAACCACAACGTTTCGGAGACTGGATCTGTCTCCGTCTTCAGGTGTATAGGGAAGGTTTAACCTACTCAGTTGGGCCCCTTAGAAAGAGCTAGTCTCAATCACTGGACAAACCTTGATCTCTAGAAACAACCTATGAACAACCGACAACCGGTTCCGTCAGTGGGAGGAAAGAATAAAATCGCAGTAAAAACACGATAGAAAATTTGTGCCAAACATGCACTTGTCAACAATGTAAAGAAACAGAAGTATGGGTTATATTCCATGAATTCAGTTAAAAACGAAAGTAAAAACTGGATAAAGCATGCCTTATCTGCATGGTTAAAGAATCGTGCCACCATGGCGACTTCCGGGAATCAGACTAATCTCCGGAAAAAAACTTGCAGTAGTAGTGGAACCACTAATATTCATGAAATTACATTTTTTGGTTTATTAACCTCTTCATTGATGAGGGGGATCCATATAGGAGAAATATCCAAACTGGGTTGGCTGATCGGATTGGATGAACATGCCATATGAGCTGATTCTTTGTATTTCCTGTATCTACTGTTGCTTTCAATCTCCAAGATCCTAGCTTCATCCCAGCTGACCCTGTGACCTTCTTCATATGCATGCTGAGCCAACCTGGATTTCTCTAGAAGACCCTGCTTAAGATTGTGCTTGTGTTCACGGATTCGAACAGCCAGTGGTCTTCCTGTTTCACCAATGTAGCTTCTGCCACATTGACAGGGAATGCTGTAGACGCACTGTGCCGTGTGTTGAGGATCCCTTTTTGGTTTC